TTGTTTTCCCAAATAACATTTCTTTAATGTTGAAATTTCATTGTAATTTTACAGAAATTTGTTACAGTGTAGCAATAATATAATACATCCATGAGCTACTCCCTTTAGCATTTGTAGTCTTTATATTAACATTGGCAAACCCTGCACGCAGGAAATGCACGTCAGCTGTTATCTCTTTACAATTACAGTGAAAATAGAGATGTCGTGACTCAAGTTTGATTATTTGGCTTCGTGGAGCTACCTGAAAGGGTTTGATTAGCTCTCAGTTGGAGATCCATGTTTTTGACTGTAGCATACTTCAGTTTTATAATTCTAATAATTGAATATTGTCAATATAAATATTACTTTATTGCCTATATTTCCTATCCAAGTCTTATGTACTGTTTGTTTTAAATTTTTTCTTACGACAATGACAATGAGCAGTCCTGGTTGTTTTTAGACTGTGAGGCAGAATAGTTGATGATGGGCCGCTGCGGGCTCCTTCATCAATGGGACACATCTATCGACTTTATTGATCTACAAAGGATGTTCAAGTCACTACTCAGCTTTACTCAGAATTTGCTCTGAGATTATATCGTGTCTTTCAGGAAACATTTGATGTAAAACCAATTTTTAGGAACTTTTAACCCAGTTTCCAACATTGGGTCATCATCAAAAACAGACCTGGAGTTGTTTTTAGATTCATCCATACTGAACTGGAACAAACATATACAGTAACTGCCCCTTCGGTCTAAAAGCTCCGGTCTCAAGCCATTTTCACATCACAGACTCGTGTTCAAACACTGAGTTAATGCTGTTTTGCCCATACATTTTTCAGGTAATTTCTCAGTTGAAAAGTTGTTTACAATCTCATGGCTGTGTTTGCAACTGGTATTTTTCTGGATTTTAGAGAAAAGCTGTAGCATAGGGAGTTTTCATTTGGATAGCTTTTTTATACTTGCCATATATTTTCTAGTAAAGATTTTATTTCATATTCTAAAACATACAATGATAAAGTAAAAACTCAGATTTTGAATGCCCATAATAATGCAAAATATGTTTTATTCAAATCAATGTTTCAAATAGAAATATTATATGATATAGTATATCATATATCATTTATGGACATTGGTCATCTGCCTCTTATGGACCAATACCAATGTGTTTTCTGTTCTATTTCTTGTGTTTGAACTGATTCTCTGATCTGTGATGGTGAATTCAACGCTTGTGTATAGTCCTCCGAGAAAACAACGGTTGTGATTTAGGTCTGTACTAGAATAAACTGAATTTAATTTATTTTAATCAATTCTACTCAGGGCGAGACACCAATGTGCAAGATTCGTGTTAGATTTAGATTTAGGGCGGCACGGTGGCTGAGTGGATAGCACTCTCGCCTCTCAGCAAGAAGGTCCTGGGTTCGAATCCCGGTCGGACCAGGGCCTTTCTGAGTGGAGTTTGCATGTTCTCCCCGTGTGTGCGTAGGTTTCCTCCGGGTACTCCGGTTTCCCCTACCACTAAAAATATGTACAATAGGTCTGGCATGCGCCTCCTGTTCGGTGACCCCGCTCCCATCTCTGTGTGGAGTGAGAGGACAAGTGCTCAAAAAATAACAATTGTAAACCGCTTTGTGACTTGGTCTGTGAAAGGCGGTATATAAATAAAGATTACTTACTTACTACTTACTTACTTAGATTTGCAGTTTCACACATATCACTAAAGTTCATGTTATTTGCATGTTTCCATATTCCCCAAACAACAGTTTCAATGGTTCTTCTGTTCACCAGAAAAGGCTCGTTAGATGATGCACAGAAATACCAAACACGTTGCCATGGAAACTAGGGTTTACTGGGTGGGGGTCTTTGCAATATATGGGACCAGTACAAAGGCTCTGACTAATAGATGCCAAAGTTCAGTCAGAAATGGTTGCCAAGTAGATGAGGCCGTACCTTTGCTTCTAAATATCTTACAGTTGTGCGTAAATATAACCCATCATCAATATTCTCCATATACTCCCACACTTTGTTACCGATGAGAAAATTGATTGCTCACTCATTGCTCGGAGACATGGCACTGTTGCCGTGTTATGGTAATGATTGGACTGAGAGAAAAAGGCATTTGTGTGGTGTGGGTAATGATGTTTGCGAAAGGTTCCCAGAAAGAAACAAGAGCGGGTTTTAAATGCCCCAGTTTAGAAAGGTCCTCCACGTGTCAGATAAGTGTAGAGGACCCTGGACATCCGTACTGCTCTACTCGAATCATTTAACATATGATCACATTTAGCTATGTTTTTGTTTTTGTTTATATACTGTATTAGTTTGTGAATGTGCTCATACTTTATGTGCTATTGTTGAAAGACTGGGGTTATTATGTGCTAAACATACTGTATACATGAAGATTTTTGTTTTAGTTGGTATTAACACAATGTGCAAATCCTAAGCTTGACGTTGTTGTGTCCTAAAATATCAATGCTATAAATGCTGTTCAAATGTCAGTTAAGTTCTTCTCAATTCTCTAAAATGCGTAGGCTACTTCTGCTTGGTCTGAATGTTTGGTTGTGTGGTTTTCTATTCAAAGAATCATATGACGTTGACCTGTTACAGGCCTTCCACATTTTTCTGACGCCACAGCCACTGTACACACACTGCTTCGACTGTTGTGAGAAATGCAAGTTGAGACACAGACAAACACATTGTTCATTTAACTATTAACTACACATCCAGCCAGTTTACCTGCTGTTATGATTAAGAGCCCTGCAAGAGTGACGTAAATGTCAGTGGACGTTGTGGCCATTCAACTGAGACCATGAAATATTGTGTGCCTCAAAGGTTAAGCTGTTGTTATTAGAGTTAGAGCCACATCGCACACAATAGATAATCTATGTTTAACTTTCATACAATGGTGCTTTCACACATAGCTACGACTTCTCTGTTTATAGCCAAACTCTTAGAGGCTCAATTGTGATTGTGACTAACAGAATAAAAACCATAATAATTTAGATATGAGTGTTTCAAACGTTATCTTATTTATTTCTTTGTATCTTGGAGGTGCATGTACACTTGATTTAATATTAGTGCGAGGCGACCTAGCACTAACAAATCCCCATATTTAAATATTCTCTCACAGCTTGTCCAGACCATTCAGCTCATCACAACGCTCCATGTAAACAAATATTGACTCATTTTACGTCCTGAAATTTTAATCAATAAAAAAAAAAATTATTGAAAGAAGCATATGATGTTTGCAGTAACAGTACACATTTTGAAAGGGAGTTGGCGTTCTATTATTGTATGTGTATGTTTTACACTAGCACTGTTCCGGCTCTGGACATCTGTCAATCTTACTGCGGTGAACTGCAAATGACGGAAGGATATAAGGACAGATTTCCTGTGACTTTCTCTCTTCGAGCTGCAGACTTTTATTTATGTGAGTGAGTCTGTGTTCTGTGTAGCTTTTTTTTGGTTGCAGCTTGCACCACTGCACCTGCTCATGAGGCCGCAAGCCAAAGCGACTCAACAGATCGCACAGATGCACGAGAACAGACAGGAAGACACATCTATTTAGGAGCTGCGTATGCTTTTGACTTTAGGCGATTGACTTCAGTTTTATCTGATAACAGGCAAACACACTGGCTGGAGCAAACAAAATGGGTGAGTTGCTAGTGAAGATTTGCAAGTATATTTGTTTATAGTTTGATCCATTTTAAGTTGCAGAAAATATGTGTGTGGGGAAATGGAACACAAGTAAACAAAAGTGCTCAGAGGGTAATAGAAATATGATGTGTTTTGGTTTTCTGGTGTTTTATGGCGAGGAGCTTATGGCCGCATTATCATCGAGAAGCATTTGAGGATCGGATGTTTGGATCTGAGTGACATGTTTAAACAGTTGTAAAATCAGAATCAGAATCAGAATCATTTTTATTGCCACGTAAGTAACAAGGTTACCACTTGGAAATTGTTTTGGCAGATAGCATGCCACTTCGCCATTTGCGGCGCTGTGTGCAGTGAAACAATATTTCTTGTGGGTAGGTGTTTGCAACTTGTTTATTTTCCTGCGGTGTTTGACAGTATGACATTCAACTCAATGTTAACATTTTCAATCACAGCTATATCAAATATAAATCCACGTCTCCACAGATCTGATCTGTAACATTGCCTGGTGGTGTTAGCTGCTTCTCTCCTTGCAATACTGAGTAACATCCAGGTAACATCTGTATAGAGAGAAGCAGGTGGCAAACCCTCCCCAAGAAAAGCAACACTGCACCATTAGAAAATTGATAGGTTTGTTAACATCACAATATATTGTACTAATGAAAGTTGTTACTCAGCTGTGTTTGATTATCATAGAAGAGAAAATGTGCAAATGTGTTTGATTGTACAGCACCCTGTAGCTCTGACCTTTAACTAGCACCTGAAGAACAACTTAACCCCAATTAAGCACAATTAGTGCTAATGCAATTACTTATCTGAGTGCAATTACCTCTGAGTATGTGTGAAGTATCTGAGTAATCATTGAATGAAGAAGTTCTGCCAGCAGTTCATCTGTACGTACACATAAAAAGAATACACAATTGTGAGTCAGGGTGAGACAAATCTTATGGCTCTTCTGTTCTTGTGTGTTTTTGATCAGGTGACCAGTGGACAAAAGGAGAGCTGCAGTGCCCACAAATGGAGCCCACGTCATGTTTGACACAGACAGAGTCTTTCCGCCTCAGAGGATAGAGAAGACAGATGCTACTGGAACAGTACCCTGCCCCTGCACACATGCACGCCTGTGGGACCCCTGCTTTTAGTAACACCTACAAACTTTTTCATTCTCACTTTCAGACTCAACAGTTGCAAGTAGGAATTCAAGTCACAAAGGCATTTGCGCACAGATTCAGAAGGATTTAAGTGGTGTGAAAAGGCTCTATATTCGTCTCACGCTGGGGTCGTTGCACTGTGCGTTCCCATTTTACAGCCGCACCTTTGAGACAGTGAAAGCATCAGCAATTATTTAAGTCTGAAATCAGATTCACAGCCACAATGCAGTCAGATGACCTCTTCATTCGCAAGTTCCGCCGGCAAAATGTGCGCCCCCCCATCGCAACTGTGAACTTTGATCCAAAGAGGGATGCAGGTGTGGTAGAGTGGCCCCCCAGGAGGGAGGGCAATGGGACAGAGGCAGACAGCCTCACTCCAAGCCGAGTGGGGTTAAACCTGAGGGCTGTGGGCAGGGGACACATCATGCAGAGGAGTAACAGCGACGTGACGTTAGGAGACTTGGACTCATCTGGGAAGGCGGGGGGCAAAGCAGTGCGTGTGGAGAAGGTGGGAGCAGGATCACAGGGGGATTCAGGTTTGCTGCGCAGAGAGTACGGCAGTCTGTCCTCTCTGGAGAGACAGACACGGACATCAGAGGCCAACGCAGAGGAGCATGGCCCTCTCAGTCCCAACGAGCTGCGCTTTAAAGACCCTTTCCTGCTGTTAGGCCTCCATGGAAACCCCCCAGAGCCCGATGGCTTTTTTAAGGGCATCACTACTTCAATAGGAGAGTCTCTTAAACCAGCAAAGCCTCCCAAACCAGAAGGTCTCACAAAGAAGGCGAAACTCACACCTGTGCCACAGCCTGCATCCTGTGACATTGGCGGCGGGGCCTGGGTGAGGAACTTTGCCCATTACGACGTTCAGAGCATCCTGTTTGACCTCACAGAAGCCGCCACCAACAGAGACAGCATCGGCCGCAAGAAGAACATCACATCTGGGGCGTCGGCTGCTTCTCAGCTTAGGCCGCTGTCCCAGAGCAGTTCGTCATCTCCCGCTCAGGGCGGGAACGCTAATGGGGCAAATGTGGATGATGCGGAGCAGTCGCTGCTGTTGGATGAAGGGGACGGCAACGACAACGAGCTGTTGTTGAGCTGCCCACATTTCCGTAATGAGACTGGAGGAGAGGAGCAGGTGGGCCTGGACCGGACTCAGGGCAGACAGAGGCCGTGGTCGAGTCTGAAGACGCCTAACGATGCTGTGTCCGTCCTGGAGGAGCCCAGAGAAAGCAACGTCCAGCAGCAGGGAAAGAGCAACTACTTCATAGAGCACGCAGACCTGGGAGCCCACTACTATCGCAAATACTTCTACATGAAAGGTGCGTGACATCGCACAAATTGAAAATATTAACACATTTTTATAATTCCAAAACACATCAATGTCAAATCCATTCTATGAAGATAGATGGATTCCATTTATAATTTACTGCATGTTTAACTGAGTTTTAAGTTAAAGCTGGGATACCTAACTGTTTTCTCATTGATTATATATTTAGTTTGTATCAAGAGAAAGAATCTTGAGAGAATCTTGAAAGTAAATTGTTGATGAGCAATGACCAAATCAGACCACAATGTGACGTCGTTATGTATCCCAGCTTTAATGTATCTCACTTCTATTCTTATTTAATATATATCATATCTTCTTCTTTTTGTTCATGACAGAACATCAAAACTTCTTTGGGATAGATGACCGTCTGGGTCCTGTGGCCATTAGTTTCCGTCGCGAGGAGAAGGAGGGATCCAGTGGAGCTCAGTACAATTACAGAATCATCTTCCGCACCACAGAGGTATATTTGACAATAGAGTTTATTATAAATTTACAGTTAAAAGATCACACATTCACTCGGTTAGATAAAAAATGCACATTTGTAATTGGGACACCCTAGAGGCATTACTTAGTTTCTAATGGGCCCAGTAGCATAGTAGTAGTAGTCATTTCTAATTCAAACGTAATTTCTATTTCAAAAACGTATGCAAAATGAAACAATATACAAAAAACAATATATAACAAATTAAATAAATACAACAAGGTACAAAATAAACAAATACATCATTTGAAAACAGAGGTTGGACGAAGCAAACGCATCTTATGGCAACATTAAATACAGCGAAGACCTACAACCGAAACTTAACCCTCCCTTACCAACACTAACACAACTAATATTAACTATTAATTACTAACTATTATTAATTTACTTACATAAAGAGCCTAGAGGGAAATACATCTTTCTTGGAGTACACATATATAGTCATTATTATTATAGTCCACAAACAAAGGTTACATTATTTAGACGTCTTCAGCTGCTGAATATTTTCTCTAGAAGATCTATTTTAATTTTATTTTTATTTTTTAAATAGCTAGAAATGACACAACTTTGATGTTTCTGATTTCCAGATGAAGACATTAAGAGGTTCAATCTTGGAGGAGTCTGTTCCGTCTGCCGCGCGCCACACCACCCCCAGAGGCTTATCTCCCAAACGGCTGCTGGAGTTCATCATGCCAGAACTCAACCTGCACTGTCTGCGCCTCGCCTCCAACTCGCCCAAAGTCAGAGACACGCTGCTCAAGCTCGACGAACAAGGGGTCAGTGAAAACATTGATCAATAGATAGACAAGTACTTTATTGTCAGACAAAAGGGTCCGAAATTTGTCTTTGCACATACATACACAGGACATTTAACAAAGATACACTCGCGATTGCAGTTCAGTCAAAGAGATTGCGTGTTAGTGTGTAATGTTGATATGCTTCTGCTCCTGTTACAAGACCACTAGACAAAGCAGAGTTTTAAAAAAAATTTCAAATATGTTCTCATAGTTTTTATCATTGATCTTGTAATGGCCCTTCTGATCATCTACAGCAGGCATGTCCAAAGTTCGGCTCACAGGCCATTTGCGGCCCTTCGCGAGCCCCTCTTGTTATGTGACTATACAGGCAAATAGCAGTGATTGTGGCAGAAAACGTAACAAAACACGGCCAACTTCAACTCTGTCATATGTGATTCCATTTGAACATGTAATACTTCATTTTAAAGCTCAGAGCAGTCCTAATCCAGTAAAAAGGTTTTATAATCAGGGTTCCCAGACTCTGGAGTCTGGTGAACTATAGTGGACCTTTTACCAAAATATTGGGACACCCGTGATCTACAGCTTTCGTCCAAATGACTTGTTGATTTTATGGGGTCTTTATGGGGTCTTTTATGAACAAATAAACGTTGATTGATTGATTGATTGATGAATTGGAGGTAGACAATAGCCTCAATAATTTATGAGATTCGTCTTCATGAGAGGATTTGCAAAGCATTTGTGGGCCTTCATGAATATTACATATAAATCCTGTCTAAAGAGATTATACATTTTTTTGTCTTCCGTAGTTGAATTTCCAGCGTAAGGTCGGCATCATGTACTGCAGATCAGGGCAGAGCTCAGAGGAGGACATGTACAACAACGAGAGTTCTGGCCCGGCGTTCGAGGAGTTCCTGGACCTGCTGGGGGAGCGGGTGCGGCTCAAAGGCTGGGAGAAATACCGCGCTCAGCTGGACAACAAGAGTGAGCTCAAATCACACGCACCCATGTGCTCCGTCTCACCTTGTTGCAAATATCCCAAGGGCATCAGTGCACCAAAGATAACCCCTATCTGCCATCATGTAATCTGAGTAATGCTGGGAAAATCGCATAGTCACTGCTGATTATCTGACAGATGTTTACCCCTCCAGACCACAGGAAATGGGATTCAAACCTCCCATTGATAGATGCGTTAAGGCTATTCTATATGGTCAAGTGTGTCTTGTTTTATCTTATCTTTTTCAGCCGATTCAACCGGAACACACTCACTCTACACACGCTATCAGGACTATGAGATTATGTTCCATGTGTCCACCATGCTGCCCTACACATCTAATAACACACAACAGGTAAGGTTGAAATATGTAGTCAAATCATGTGGCCTTTTTTTCCGGATTTAGAGAAAAAATATCTTGAAACATCTCAAATGACTTTTACATAACGCACATAACCAATAAGTATCTCTCTTGATTAAATATTCATGCTTAAATTTAGAAAAGGAAAGTGTATCTCATGCGCAATGTAACATTTCTATTCACCCATTAAATTCTTTTAGCTGTTGAGCTGCTTTCATTCGGTCATAATTATTTAAAAGAGTTGAATCTATTTTTAATCCCTTGTTCTATTTTTGTTATAGTTTAAATTGGTATCATCTTTCTTGACAGTTTTTGGTCTGTTTTATTTTCAGCTACTGAGGAAGAGACACATTGGGAACGACATAGTGACAATCGTGTTCCAGGAGGCTGGAGCGTTGCCCTTTACTCCCAAATCCATCCGCTCCCATTTCCAGCACGTCTTCATCATAGTGCAGGTCCATGAGCCCTGCACTGAAAACACCCACTACAGGTTAGCACATTGTCTCTCATCATGGTTTTATTGTTTTACTGGTGTGTGTGTGTGTGTGTGTGTGTGTGTGTGTGTGTGTGTGTGTGTGTGTGTGTGTGTGTGTGTGTGTGTGTGTGTGTGTTTGAGTGTGTGTGTGTGTGTGTGTGTGTGTGTGTGTGTGTGTGTGTATGAGTGTGTATGAGTGTTCATGAGCGCGTGTTTGGGGTGGGTCTGTTGGGTGGTCTGGGGGAGGGGTCTTGGGTCGGCGGGATTGTTTTTAACCAAACTGTAAAGCACTTTGTGTTGCATCTTTTGTATGAAAAGCGCTTTATAAATAAAATTTGATTGATTTTGATTGATTGCACTCAATTCAATTCAATTTATTCTTGTATAGCCCTAAATCACAACAGTAGTTATCTTGGAGGACTTTACACAACCCATTGGTATTGGGTTATAAATGTCCATAAATGTTGTTGAATGTTGAGTGTCCTGGAGCATCACCACTGTCCTTTTAGTTAGACCTCACAAGACTAACAGACCCTCCTGCATCGGCAAAGAAAAACGTCATTCTCATCATTCTTTCTGACTCTGATAAGTTTGACATTTATTCTCTTTCTCAAGATTCAAGCTAAATCACAAAATCATACATGAGTCTCTATATAATCTCAGTTCTAATCTCAGTTTGGGTGGGTCACCATGTTATATTTTTTATATGGTATAACCAATGGTGCGACCACGCCCCCTACAAAAGTAAATTTACATTGCACCTATGGGAGCCACCAAATTCCCTACACATATTTGTCATGTCAAGACAAAAAAAAGTGATTATCCCGACCCCCCCTGACAAACCGGATGTCCATAATTTTGAAATGAAAATAGCAAAATTAACTTCTGCGCCTTTTTTAATACAGTCATTTTTTTATGATTTTAATGCCTCGTGTGACTTATCTTGTTTTTGTTCAGCACTTTGAGTTTCCTCGTGTGTGATCTGTGCTATACAAATAGGTCTTGCCTTGAGGCCAGCCATTTCACTGAACAGGCTCAAAAAGCTGAAATAGTAATCTGCAAATTTCTATAGATCTCAGACAGATTTACCCTGAACGCAGATACAACCTTCCAAATCTAAGTTGATGACTGTTCACTCAGAAAACAGGACAGAGACAGATTGAAAGCAGCTGCTTAACGCTTCCTCATCTTTCTTGTGCTTGTTGTGCTCAGGGTGGCTGTGACACGCTCTAAAGACATGCCATTATTCGGCCCGCTGTTCCCCAAAGGCGCCCGCTTCCCCCGCTCCTCAGCATTCAGAGACTTCCTCCTGGCAAAAGCAGTGAACGCTGAAAACGCTGCTGAGAAGTCTGAGAAGTTTAGATCCATGGCCACCAGGACGCGACAAGAATACCTCAAAGATCTGGCTGAGAACTATGTCACCACCACGCCGATCGATTCATCCACAAAGTTCCCACTGCTCTCTCTTGGGGGCAAACGAAAAGACAAGCAAAAAGGAGCTAAAGGAGCGGAGTTGCACAGCGCTGGGGCTTTGGTGTGGGCAGTGATGGTCAGTAATGGGGATGAAGGAGACATAGGGGAACTGAGGCTGCCCTGTCTGCTGGGCGTGTCTGCAGAGTCAGTAGTTCTGATAGAAAGATGCACAAGAAGAGTAGTGTTCACCTGTTCCTGTCGGGACGTGATCGGCTGGAAGGCGGTGACTGAGGTGAAAGACGGAGGCCCGAGTTTGGATATCTTCTACGAGCGAGGCGAGTCGGTGTCCATGAGTGTCCCGGAGAGCCAGGTGGAGGACATAAAGGAAGTCGTACAGAGACTGGAGGTGAGTTCACAGACTGCACTGGTGAAAGGTGCTCCACACAACAGTCCTGGTGAAGGGTCCGCTTTGGCTCGGGTCGATCTATATGTTGTTGTTTCTTCTGGAATGTTCCACAGTATGGCATGCTATATACTATATAGCATACTATAAAAATTAGCTAAACACACACTATGGCCTTAATTGATTGTGTTACCGCATTTGCATATTCTCTATCATGAATAAGTTCAGTGCATTAGTTTACAGAGAGTTTCCAGATGCCCTGAACACTATCTGAGTAGTTTTAAAGTTAATTACATCCTGTAGTTTAAGTTCTTTAATTTCTATGAACAGTGGATTAGAATGATGTCTGTAGTGGACATTAGGTACAGTCCTAATGCACTTTTTTTTGCAACGTAATTAAAGGCTGTAACATTTTGTTTAACTTTCTCATTTGGAATATCATCATTTGTTAGGCTGACTGGTATATTACTATTGAGATTGCCAAAAATTATGATTGTGTTTTTTTTTGTGAGAATTTATTTTGGTTAAACCACTTTTTTAGTTTGTCCATCTCAGTTGCCGTAACATATAATATTAATATCATCAGCAAAAAGAATGAACTCCGTTATTGTTGATACTTTGTATATTTAATTTATGCACATAAGGAATAACATGGGTCCTACAGTAATATTGACACTTGTGGCACTCCACAGGTTATGTCCCCAAAACCTGACTTGTGATAGTCAATTTGTACGAGTTGTATGCCATAGTTTTCCAATTTGTTTGTTAAAATATTATGATCAATAATATTGAAAGCTTTTTGAAGATCAATAAAAATTTTGAAGATCAATAAAAACTTGTAATACATTTGTTTTTACTTTCCATATTCTGATTGTGTCATTGAGATGAAAAAATACTTTTATAACTAGTTCATCACAAAACGCTATTGAACTATAACCTGTTCCTTCGCACTCATCTCCTCAGCTGGTGACCCGCGGCTGCGAGGCTCTGGAGGTCACGCCCCTGCGTGACGGCGTGGGTCAGCCCGGCTTCCTCATGAACGAGGAGGGCTTCGTCACGGAGCTGCAGCGCTTCTGTTACGCAGAGAGCGGAGGTCTGCAGCTGTGGGCCCGGGTGGTCCGTCTGTGCGGCCACTCTCTGGTCTACTTGACCCCCGAGGAGAGGACCAGGCTGCTCCGGACCGCGCACAAAATCCACATCACCGTTATCCCCCCAGACGAGAACGGAAAGCCTCGCAGGTGAGCGGGTGATGCTGCCTCCACTAATGAGGATCTAATGAGACAATCAAGCCAGAAGAGGAGGCAGGAAGAATGGGTGTGGGGCTTTGTTAGAGGGATTGTGTTGAGCAGGGATGAGCAATTATTTTCTCCACGTTGATGTATCAGCATATTGTGGAGGGCCGGATCTGTTTCCATTTCATTTCATTTAGCAAAACACATTTGCTAAACATAGTGAAAGCCACTTCAGTTATAACATGTAACAAAAACATATTTAAGGTTTATGAGAGAAGGAAGCATGAAGTTATCCAGTGTTTTTGAAAAGTGTGTTCATTGCTCATCTTTTACCCAGTGCTCATGGTTTTAGTGGTCGGGGAAACCGGAGCACCCGAAGTAAACCTACTAAGACATGGAGAAAACATTTTAGTGAAGCACAAGCACTAATATAATAGCACATTTTATGTTACAAACCAACATTGGATATGGAGTTCCATTCATTTAAATAGAGTCAAATGAAAACAGATCGACCGCATACCTGAATTGGGTGAATCAAATTGCATTTTGGCCAGGTCTGATGGGGGGAAAAGCTAAAGAAAGAATATTTCTGCGCTGCTACGTTATGCACCTACTGTTAATGAAATAGTTTAAAGACCTCTGATTGCGCACACCGTCATTCGGCACACTTTCTTTATTAACACAAAGGATTGAGGGTCAGTAAGAACTGTTTCAAATGTTGAGTCTGGTGAAAGCTCTCCTGAACCAGCTCTCAGACTAACATGTTTTAACTTTACACATTTATGTTATGAAATCACTCACATACTCAAAATCATTGTCTGTCTGTTTGTATCAAACTGATGATCATATTATTATGCAATTGATTATTTACTCTTCATTAAGGCTACATGCTCCACTTTAATCTATTACCATATTTTATATTGTGTTGAATAAATAGTCCAGCAATAGAATAATATGTGATTCTATTACATTATTTACACTGACCTTTTGTTTGTGTGCGCAGAAGTTTCTCTGAACTCTATCAGAAGGCCATCATGGATGCCGAGTGTAAAACTGGGGAGAACCAATCAGGAGAGGCGTGGGTGCTGGACGAGAGGGAGGAGGAGGAGGATGAGGAGGAAGAGGAAGAGGAGGTGGACAGGGTCACACAGATGGACGTCACTGAGGTGGATGCAGGAAACATAAATGAGGAGTTAAGTGACCAAACGCCCAGTGAACAGAGACTTGAGCCGCTCCTCATGCCGCCCGGGTTGCCTTTGTTACGGGCGACATCGCTGCAGGACCAACCGACCAATCAGAGCGACGATGAGGCCTCACAGCTCACACGCAGCTTCTCATTGGAGAAACAGCCTTCTTTCAAAGACACATGTGATGGGTACGTAATATTAAGTTTAACAATGTGGTTTCTAATGCAGTCTAAAGTATTTACAATATTGGTGTTATGTTGAAAAAGTGTTACAGTATTTTCTCACTTCATATGATTATTCATAAACATTCTGACTCCAAGGCTTGCTCGTTAGGTTGTCTTTTATCCATTTTGCATTTTAAAAAAGTGAATGTCAATTCAATATCTGATGGCCATGGAAGCATGGCCTGTTTGACCGCATGGGATCGCATGGGAAGTTAAGGGCCAATATTCCAAAAACTGAACACATCGACCCAATATGTTGAATTACTATGCTACATTATTTAATTTTAAATGAATCCGCAGCTCAAAAAAGCGGCTCTTTGACCTGTTTAATGCCAAACTATTTAACATTTATAGCAAAACAACATGTAAATAAATGAAACGTGCAGATCCTGCACCAGTGCATCTTAATATCCCAAACAAAGAGCATGTCTCCTCTCAGAAAAAATTCAAATAAGGCCGCACATCCCTGTAGTCTGGGCTAGCGTGCTGGATTAAAAAATTGCAAAACCTAAAAACAGTGAAAAAAATCTGCACAGCTATGTAGCTCCCAATTAGTGTTTTTTATTTACATACCACGCTGTAACGTTTCGGGCTGAGGACCTTCGTCAGACTTGCATTAATTGGCTTTAAAGCTAGTATGAAATTTTATTCAGTATTTTTTGTATTTACAGCGAGGAATTGGACAGCGAGCCTCTGAAGATGGACCACCCCATCTACGAGAACGTGGGAGAGCTGAGAGACGCCACTCCTGACCTCATCTTGGCTGTTAAACCTAAAGTCGCACTGGAGGAAGACCTGGTGACTAAAACTACATATGTTGATTCCTGCAGTCGGGCTGGGCCACATGTACAACGTCTCCTCCCTCTTTGCTTTCAGTTCCTGGGCACTGATGATAAAGCATCCGCGAGTGATGGCTCTCTCACGCGCATGTCTTGTATCGACCGGGCCGAAAGAAATTCACGAGCCCTGAGTCTCCATAACTCCATCACAAAGAGTAAGCACTTTATTACTAGTCCTTATTTCTAACAACATTATTGCAAAGCTTTTGTATTGTAAAATGTTCTCCAGCAATGTGTATTACTATTTGACTGGTACTTAGCTGTAGGATCCATCAAAGGGTTAACCAACCATTATTACTTTTGAAGTATAACATTTTAGAAAACTAAGATGATGCTTTCACATTATTAATGTAGGGCTGTAACTAGCAATACTTTTAGAAGTCAAGTATTCTTTAAATTGTTATCTTTGATTAAAGGTATATAAGAAGAGTTTCCCAAATTTTAGGAAAGAACCGCCCTCTCCACTTTTTGGACAAAACTCTCTGGTCTTATTGGACGAGCATGTCTCACAAGAATGATTGACAATTGTGAGGACCAATAATCTTGATGATCCACCCGGATTAACTTTTTATACTCTTTACTTTTTCTAAAATATATAATTAATATTCAGTTGTGTCATGTTTCAACAATCCTGAAAGGTCATTTCAAACTCATTAATCTTATTTGATAGATGTATTTCTGCTGCTTCTTGTATTGTCATATTCAGACTAATTGCATCGCTACATTTACACAAAATGAGACTTTATGACACAATTTTTAAGAAGTATCAAAAGGCCTCCAAGTGTTTAGGAGTATACTTTATAATCCTAATGACTATGGATGCCCCACAACATTTGACCTGTTTGACAATTATTCAATGACACATTTACATACAATTACATTACATACAACACAGTGCATATCTCAGCTCAAATTAAGCCTGAAATTCCTCTTTTCCAATCTTTGCGCTGTAAACCTGTGGTCGTTATCCTTCCGTGCGACCCCTTTGTCCTCTTCTTTTATGCGCACTACCCCTGTCCCACTAATCTAATATGAGCCGTGCTCCAGTGCCACCCCCTGCCAGCACCCGGATAAAAGCAGGACAGATGGGTGGTGGGAGGGAGGAGTGCAGCGGAACCCCTCTTTCACCATCTGCTGCAGGGACTGTACAGCCTCCTCATTTATCAACCTCATCATTCTAAACTCTGTGTTTGTAGGGCAATTATGTTGGAGTGCCACTTCCTTCACTATCAAGGCCTTACTTTTTGTTTTAATTAACAAATTCTATATTTACAACCATGAGGTTAACGAAGCATTGTTTTATTATTTTGTAGCTGTGATAGTTTGTGTCATGTTGTGTAATGACAAAAACTAAGATCTTATAGTGTAAGCACCAATTATTATCTGAAAAGTTGTTCCTTGCTATTGCAGTGTTCAGATGTGAAGCAGCACTGACCTCTAGTGGACCTTTACTGTTACTGTCATCGTGCCAAGCAGCTGTGGCACCGCAGTTGCATGTTTCTGTTGTTGGATGTTAAATATAATCTTATGTAATGTATACACGTGCTCTTCTCGTGCAGTCCTCTCGGAGACGACAGACACCACTGAAGAGGAATGGCAGTCCATCGCAGATCTGGCCACAGCCTGCCGCAGCATTCTGGAGGCCCTGTCACGAGAAGGCGAGCCACTGCCCTCAACCTTATTTACTTAAACATTAACAACATTATGATTAATTTTGATATCATTTCTGTCTGATTGCAGATCGTAAAGGTAGTGATTCATCTCAGTCAGGCGAACAAAGGGACTCAAAGGAGAGGTAAGTTAGCATTTACAGCAGCAGTTCAGCCCAGTTGATTGTTCTCAGCACATAATGAGCCTGGGATGAGGCTGTTCTGAGTGTCAGTGTGATGTACAGTTCAACCAATCAAGGAGGATGTATTGTGCATTTACATATGTGCAATCTGGAGAGTGCAGGAGTGTAGACTCATGTATCTTCAGATGCTAAAGTGAGCTTAAATGTGACTAATGTTGTTTTGTTGCAGTGACTCTCCGGGCCACCTCGAGGAGAAGGTGTCGCAGCTTGAGTCTATGCTGAAAAAGCTGCAGAACGACCTGCAAAAGGTGCTCTAAATTTCATGAACACTTTTTAAAATTGTAATATTTATTTGTACGTCAAGTCAGATCAGTGGGAAATAGTGTACATTGTTTATATTCTCTGCTGATATTTGTAAATATTATAAAATATGGCAATACTGTATATTGAGTTAATGTGATATTTAAATGTGAAAGTACTGTCATGTTGATAAACACATTCCTGCATTAATGTTTTCTTTTGAGGACATTTGCAACAACATTCAGTAATTGTTTCAGTATTTGCATACTTCATTACTGTGCCTTATGCCTCCAGAAAACAATAACAGGAACTATGCAACACTATTCAAATGTCCATACTCCACCCCATACGCTCATCATGTTTAGCAATTTACTGAATGTGCAATGGCAGCCGACTGATCTCAGCATTCATTCAAGTGAAACCTTATATGTCTGTGAAGTTGCGTGTGAATGTCAAATGCACTTGTGAAGCTGGTTAATACCATTATTTTTACAACAATAATTGTCACTAATAAACCCGGGAGACTTGTGCACTGGTTGTGCGTTCTTTCTTCACTACACCTGTTGTCCGTGTGTTTCTTCACCTCTAGAGCTCTGTCACTGACTGTGTGGTCACTCCTCGTGTCCTGCCTTCTCAGAGACAGCTGTTGTTTTGTGCGTGTGTGTTGCAGGAGAAGGAGGACAAGGCCGTGCTGCAGGCCGAGGTGCAGAGCCTCAGGCAGAACAACCAGCGGCTGCAGGAGGAGTCTCAGAGCACAGTGGCTCGCCTCATCAAAGTCACGGAGCTACTGTGCAACGTCAACAAGCCCTGTTAGCTACTGTTAACCACGCGCACCAATCAGAAACATGCAAAACAACAGCAGTCTCCACACAGACTGTGTAGACAGTGGGACCCATGCAAATCCTCAGTGTGTTCCTTTAATACCCTGGTCTGCCTACTGGCAGGAAGTATGCAAATCTGTTAAAGACGTTGAGACATTATGACCTTCATGGACTGACCACTGTGCAGCTGTGAGCTGCAGTCTGCTCTGTCCGAGTGCTTCTTAGTATGTGTGTGTGTGTGTGTACGAGCAAATGTGCATCTCATACTGTAACTGCTTCAAATACTTGACCAAGCTGCGCTCTTTAGCACTTGCAGAAAAATATGAAACTATGGTAGTAAAGACACTGTACAGCATGTGTGGTGATGTGTTCTGAAATGACCAAAAGTGTAAATAGACAGTATATACTGTATAGCTATATACAGTATACACTGCATAGCTATCTATTATATACTATAAGTATAGCTTTATACTATATGTAAGAGTTGATATCTTCTGCAGTGGGGTTTGTGTGGCCTCTGGTGACCATCTCTGCCCTAAGAGTGGTCAACAGTACTGGAAAAACTGGACTTTTAGTGAGAAATATGGGATGTGGCGAGACGCATGCTTTCATCCAGCAGTTTGTTTTTCTAATAAAGGAGAAGGGTCATTTCTCTGCGTACACAATGATAGCAGGATCGCCTGTAGCTGTCTCTAACCTCACTGTTGTAGCAGCCATACTGTAGAGATCTGCTGCCTGCACTAGACACGGCAGCTTTCTTCAGCTGGCACAGAGCTTTAGGTGGAACTCCACCTGAGACTTAAAGTATTATTATTATAATGAAATGTTTGGTGAGTGTTTGTAGTGACGTGCGGTAGCACTGAGCGCAAATTTCTTACCACCACCTCAAAGTGTGTGTTGTTAGTGTGTTAAAATATCAATTTGCACTTTTGTAAATGCTGGACTTTTTGTTGAACTTTTTTTAGGATTGTCCAGGTAACGGCTTGATACCTTACCTCACCCTTTCTGTGTCCAACTTAGAGGCGTTTTATTCTCAGTGCCAACAAAACAAAAAGAGACTCAAAAGTCCTGGCAGCTTTTTGTGAATTAAACTCTAACAGAGGAAGGCCAAAATCATGTGTAAAATATGGGTCACTGTGAATACTTGGTACCAGCATAATAAGATATATCAGATTAACTTATCTATTTGTGTGTTGAATTATGTAGAGCTAGACTGGCAGGACGCAGACGCAGAAGGGTTCTGGCTCCTAAATTAAAGGTGCATAGGACTTGATTGAGCGCCTGATAGTACTTTAGATTGTGTTCGGCCGGGCAAAGCATGAGAATGTGCCAAGCAACTTCCAAGCTGTGTGTTTGCGTGTGAGTGTGTGTTTGTGTGTGTGTGTGTGTAAAATGTAACTTATTTATCATGCAAATGTGGATTCATTAATGAAGGAACCAATGTAAACAAGTTTTGCTTTTAATTATTTTTTCCAAGACTCAAATTGCAAAATGTATTCTATGTAAACACGGTCTTAACACCATTAGGTACGCCTTAAAAGTGCATCTGAGCAGCATTGACTGCAGTGTTCCTATGGTTCCACATTTCTGTGCCTACCTGAAAATGTAATGTCACTGCTTCGTGATCTCATTTTGTTGTTGGTTTTGTGGCACAAAGTATTAGTTTCCCAGCTTCCACAATGTGAGGGAAAGTGATTGGATGGACAAAGATGAACAATAATAATAATAATATTGATGATAGATGAGTGGTGTCATTCTGTTTGGTTTGAGAAAAGGAAAAGAAAATATGTGCATTTAAAGCTGCATGATATACATTTTCATGTAATGCTTTACCTGAAAGGTTCCAGACTGTTTAGTATTTTACAAATGTTTTGCAGCTATGCCATTAATATTATTATTGTGAGCCGCTTTGGGAGGTTTCAAAGATAAGGCTTGGTACATCCACTGAAGGTTGGTCATCATGGTTTCATATTATTATCTTTATTGATATTATATTGTGTTCAAAAATACAACAGGTCACTACACAAATAACATGGGAGCTTTTTCTTCTCACTCCATTTGTAAAAAATTGAGATGTAATACTTGCTGTACTGTAACATATACAGATATCGACAGGTCTTCAATATTGGTAAACATTTCATAAAACAATAGAATCTTCCAACCATCAAGCAGTGATATAGATTAAAGTGTCAATGTTTTAGCTTGTTTAATATTGTCATCAGAATTATCTAACTCCGTTAGACAGCAGCTTCTGTTGATAAAACAGACATTTTCCAAAGACAACACTAGTCTAACACTTGCCAGGACAGTGTGCTGGAAACTCTCTGTAAACACTGCACTTTGACAATGGGAGGAGAGCTGCAGGAGCATGTGCTCCATCCATGTCTTTATTTGGGGTTTGAGTTTCTTCAGGGGACTCTGTTACAAACATAAGACCTACAGTATAAATACAGACATGATTTGTTCATCTGTGCTCAACACTATCAGCGATGGACTCAAAGGAAACTGCAAAAGACTGATGCAGCAAACCTTCCCACACAAGATGTTAATTTTATTTTTGGCTTAAATGAAACAAACTCTTTTTAAAAAAAATATATTTTTCTGAAAATACCTCTTTTTCAATTATTTTTCAGTCATAGTAAGCCATGGTATGTTGGATAACTCCGTCAGCTGTCCACTTGTTTATGCTTGCGTATAATAATAACACTCCTTTCTATAATAAGCATTTGAGGGGCTGTTCTGTTAGTGGGGCTCACAGGAGTAGGCAAGCTTCAAAATGTGCCCCTGCAGAGCTGCCTGCAGGAGATAGTCACAAGAAAAGCAACAGCTGCAAGGCATTAGCATCACGTTGAATATTAAACATCTTCAGTTCAGCTAAAATTATTTATCTGCCCTTTATAGCGCGTACAGTTCACCATATGACTCTAACATGTAATAATGAATAGACAAAAGTAATTACGGACTACATTTTCAACATGAACGTACTGTTACTACGGTTACTTACAACTACAGCGCGTATTTTTGTGTGTAGTAATCATAGTAAAGCATAAATTACACTTAAAGATGAATTCGAAATACAAGATTAAAATTACACATTTTAGTGAACTACAATCATGACCTTCCATCAACTAAATGTACGGATGTTTGTTGTCGTGAAATCTTTACTAAACGTGAATGAACGTGCGTCTTATCCCACTTTCAAACCCCCGTTCGAGTTTTGTCGAAAAATCATAATTAAACCAAATTAGACCTAAAACTGATAATAATTGTACACTAAATATAAAAGTGCATGAAATGTTAAAGTCAAAACTGGAGCAGAGCCGTCTGCACAGGCCGCCGTCACGTGTTTGTCGCCGCCTGCTGGTGGCAGAGGCGCAGTGCAGCGGAGGCGCTCAGACGATCAGAGGGTCTCCTCCTCCTCCTCCTCCTCCTCCTCCTGCTGCTTCTGCTGCTGCTGCTGCTGCTGGTGCTTCGGGCTTCTGCTCGGAACCTGTCGAAGCGCACACATGAAGAAGCCCGGGGGCAGCTGCGCGTCTCGACCGGCTTTGGAGGACTCGGACCCGGGGAAAAGTGTGTAGATCTCCGCGGACCACGGGGTCTGTCTGCGCGGAGGCTTTGGCACAACTTGTCTCAAAACAAGCCGCTGCGGCTGGATTTGTGCGAAGCTGCGTTTGAAGGAAACTAACTCAGACGCGTGAGAAAGTAGATGTTTTTGGAGACGATGTGGCCCACGGAGACATGAGAGCGGCTGGATCGAGACAGAGGAGGCCCTTCCAGCGGTTCTGCTGCTGCGGAGTCGGGCTCCTGCTGGTGCTGTGGCTCACGCAGCTCCAGGTCCAGGGGCCAGGTGAGACCCCCACAGCATCACCGCCCAACACGTGCAACAGTGCAGGGGATTAGATGTTTATTCAATATCCTGCGTGGGCTTGTCACATCTAAGTCTTATATGATTATATTTGAGCTGCACCCTGAGTTTTAGTGGCAACAACACAATTCAAATGAAACAATTTTACATAATTATGTAAACAGTCTACTCTTTGTCAATCATTTAAATCACGATTATGTCAATCAATTCCAATGCCAAAATTTTAGATTAAAATAATATTGTAAGGCACATTTACAAAACACTTGGATAGTGAGCAAATAGCATATTGAGAATAAGGTTATTGTTGGTATTTCTGATCACACACGTTTTATTTAGAGCTTTGAATTCAATTAATTTCTTTAATTGCACAACCCTTTTTATATCTTTTATTGCTAGGTTCAGTCTAATTTGAACGTTTTTTCATCATTATTAGTTGTATATTGCATGTTTAAAATATGGTTTAAACTCATACTATTTACAGATCGAGTGAAACTCACTTAAAGACAACACATTTGTTCAATGAAATGTATTGTGTACAAAACCTGATTGAAAGACATTCTCCAGTGGCAGATTCCATACTCATTTATCCACGCTTCTCTCACGTGTTTGTTACCTAATATCACTTGGTTTTTAGGTTCTTGTATTCCCTCTTAATGAGAGCCCCATCAGTGAAGTGTCTCCTCTTCTCACACAATGTCTGTGACTCATCTCTAGATCTGTTCACCCCGGGAGAACCAGAGGCGTTGAATTATTATTTCACCTCTGTTGAATTTGCCTTAATATTTTCACCTCTAGTTGTGTGAGTTTGACGACTGTAAGGGTCTCACTCTCTACTGCTCTTCTGTTGGTTATCATTCATCTCATTATAAAATGCTGTCACTGGTTTCACACAGCACCTCTTTTGTTTTCCAGCGAAGTATGAAAATATTTTATGCAAATATGTTCAACTGGGCAGAATTAACATTTTAGAAGGAAACCATCGCTTCTATATCTTAGTGTAAAATATATCATCAAAAGGATACAATTATATACAGTATACTAATACTTTCAAGTTAAGCCAAAAAAAGGTTAGAGATGGTCAAGCGTTTGAAGTAGCTCAAATACACGTCATACAACTCATTGTTCAAGGAACATATATTGTCTAATGAATTTTTCTAAATGATAAAGCTCATGTTACAGCAGCTCACCGCCATGGCCCTCATGGACGTGTATACACTCTGCACCCACAGGAGCCGGTTCATCCAGTCAATGAGACACAATCTCAAGACATCTTTGAGAGAGAAATTCTCAACTGTTATCAGCTGTGTCTTTAAATAGCCAAGAAAAGGCTCTTTCCATTTGTAGGAATCTAAATATTTTGCTGACTCATGACAAGGACTTTTTCACATCGCTGTGTTTCTAAAAATGTTTAAACAGTTGTCAGTGTGAGGCCAGTTGACAGAGAGCAGCCAAGACAGTGGACACCGTCTCTGCGTCGTAGATAAATACAGACTTATGTTATTGACTCTTATCTGCTCATTCACAGCCTGTGTGTGACGATTAGGATATTTCCACACAAACACTGCTGCTCCTGTCTGACCACTTCTCATGAAAATATTTTCTTTCTTGTAATTCTGATTTGTATGTTGCTAGTTCAATAATGATTAAAACATAATTCTAGCAGTTTGTTTCCAATTCCACAGTAAGTTGTGTGAACTTTGATACCATGTTATATCTGTTTTATGGCTGCGTTTGTGATAAGAACACTGACCTAAGTTCAAACACTGATTTCCTGAAATCTGTTGTTCCAAGTCAAAAGTGAAGTAGTGAAGCTGAGTTTGCCCTAAAGAGAAAAACATAATGCTCTGATTATCAATAAACAGAGGCCACGCCCTCCTGGTCCTTCAGCAAACCACACATAAGTCATTGAAGTGTTTTTGAACTGCTTCACACAGAGCCATGGATTCTGTTTTTACACATTACTGCAGGATCAAAACATAAACAAATCAATCAGGAACAAAGTGTGGCATATTCTTATGATCCGGATCACAGTGTGTCGCAGTCTTTTTCCGTACAGGGATGAAAAGCCAAAAGGAGATATGCTTGCCGGGTTTAATGAGATGACGTGACAAAGATGCCCAAGTTTGAGAGTGGGCAGAGCCATCTGTGTCGACAGGACATTTGAATTTCAGACACTGCTCTTGATGCCACAACATGAAAGCCTCAGCCCTCGCACTCACACTGTGGTGAGCTACAAAGAGCCACAACAGCTGACTGCAAACACACAGCTTTCTACAGAACCTACACCTTCATTCAGACTTGGAACCTCCCAGTCCACGTTCTAGTCCCCTCAGTATGGACACAGAATTGGTCTGAGGGCAACAGGTCACAGTTCAAACATCCATATTTGTCATTTGTCTTTAGATGTTGTCATGACGATCTAAGAGAATTGAAATAATTCATAGTAGTTAAGAATAACATAATAGTGTAGAGGCATAACCACTTGTTTGTGTTCCAGAGGGAGGAGAGAGTCTGGAACAGCGCTGGAGTCGGAGGTTATTGCAGACAGTGGAGAGTGTGAACCAGAGTGAGGAGGAGCCACGAGCAGGTGTGACACAAGCCCCTGATATCAAACACACACACACATATAGATGCAAGTATATGACCACACATCTGGTGTGTTTGTGTGTGTGTGTGTGTGTGTGTGTGTGTGTGTGTGTGTGGAGCCACAGACAGGAGCATCTTGTCCCCTGCAGGTGAAGGGAAAGGTCACAGAGCACACTCTCTCAGTCCTCAGACAAATGCAACACAATTTAGAGGCGCTCAAGTCGACTGCTTTGACTTTGCTCCAAGCTTTTCTTTTTTGTTTAACCATGTTCCTACTTAAGTGGTAACTCAAGTAGCATCCAACAGACATCCTTATCAATATTCAAATTAAAATAAGTTGAATACATGTATTTGTTTAATTAGAGTTGTTATTTATTGTATAGTATTTTTCCAGGTTCCACTGAAGCTCTCATGTCCCAACCTCTGACTTAATGATTGAAACCTGTTGCAACAAGCGTGTATGTAACACGTCTCTTACAGTATCTCACGCTGACCATACTGTAGTTAAAATGGTAAATATATTTCTGTCATGTTCAGTAGATCTCAGTGATAATGTGGGTGTGGGGGGTGCAGGTCAGGTCCTCCCAGCAGCTGATTACATAATCTGTGTGATTAAACGCTAGTGCTGGACCTCAGGATATTATCTGGGGATTGGACAGTAACATCAGCCCCCACTCCTTCTCTCTTATCCCTTCGCTGCTTAACAAGATGAAGACCTGCCTTCAGATGGCAAGACCATTGTTGCTAAGCAACTGAATACAAAATTTGGATCCAACAATTCTGTCTTTCAAGCATTAAAAGTGCAAACCAGGATCTAAAAATAGCATAGGAGAGGCGTGTGCAAATGAGTCTATATGATGCCAGCGTCAGCCCTGTGTGTGTCTGTGGAAGGTCTATTCAGGAGCAGCTGTGAGGTCTCCAGACAGACTACAGATCACTGAGGGATAGATATATCTTTTTTATTTTATATTTGATTTGACATTCATTTGGCCCATTGCACAGTAAGTAGATAAAGCATCAGTGTTGACTGCACACATAGGGTATGACGCCCGCTGCCGTTTTATCCCGACTCTATTCAGTTCCTCAAAGCGATGAAAATCAAAGACAAATGCATAATTGAATTTACAATACACCCTGAATGAAATATTTATTTTTTGATTCCTCATGAAACATTCAGCTTGTACCTGCTTCAGTCGTGTGGTTGTGATCTGTGAGCGCTCGATAGAAGCTGGTCTCACACCAGCCGTAGATCAATGCACCTCTCCCTCCACTGCACTTTGTGGTGCTCATGCTTTAACCATGTATATGCTACATTTATCACCAAATGTCATGACATTCATAAGAAGTGACCAAACAAACTGATACATCTCAGACTCTTGACTTTCTCTTTCTGTCAGATCCATCTGTTAATGAAGTAGTGAACCTTATAATATCTGGGTAAATAGATACATGTTTGGAGCCAATAAATGGTAACTCACGGTTCATAACATTTGTAAAGAATATAAACATTGTTATTTCAGTGACGTAGTACTCCGTGTTTGGCAAATGAACTTGAAGCCACTCTCGTTATGTCTTGTTGCTTCTATCTTTTTAGCATGTGTTTTTTCCTCCCTGGCTCTCAGGCCTCTCCTGAGAGTTGTAGGGAAAAATAAATATTTTTAGACATTACAGTCTACAGGGCGGCTGTCACTTTTTTAAATTATTTTTTTAACTTAAACCATGGGAAACACAACTCTACCTCCCCTTCCTGCTGTTTCAGCAGTCGCTTGTCTTTGGCGTCCTACTGCCAACCATCGCCAAAAAAGAGAAAACGTTGGATGCCCCCAGAGAGAGGGTTGCTATAGCAACTGCCTTCACCAGGCGACATGAGGAAGCGTTGATCGGTGCATGAGACCGCTGCTCGACATAGAGCTTATGTTCTGGCCTAAGACTCTTTTCTTCATAAAAATGAATGATTGGAGAAGGTAAAGTATAATCCTCAGACAAAGCGCAGATGTCTGAGAGCTCAAACACCAGGTCGTGTCTTTAGATAAGACAAAGTTTACACGTTAAGGTCTCTTCCCACAGCACCTCCCTCATACAACAGCTGCTGCGATGTCATCTATGCGCTTCTCTCCGTCACTTTGCGACTATAAATCAGTGGCCTCTGGTCTCTGTCTCACACATCTGAGTTTGGTTTTACCTGTAGCTCTCTGTTATAATTCAACACAAGGCATAACAGGCAAATGAATTATAGCAGTTGTGACTCCATTACTGATCTGATTAAGAATTCTTACACTTTAATGTGCCTTTTATTTTCCTTGGCTAAGAATCCCCGTTTTCAGTTTACTGTATGTTTGGGTCGAGGTAATCCCTCAAATGTCGAGTAGGGTTCTATGGTAGATAACCTTTCATAGGAAGTCATGTGCGCAGACTTTTTAAATCAACAATAACTCCTGTAAAAAAGTTCCAAAGAGTGTGAAGGAGTGCGGAGGCGGTGCAGAGTTAATCCTCATCTGCTGCTGTTACTTTGGGCCCCAGCTCCACTCTGAGCTCCACTGTTGTTTCACAGCACTAAAGCTATTTATAGCCACTTCCACTTTATATTCACTCAGCTTGTCCCCAAGTTGTAATTGGAGCTGATGAGTTGCATGTCTGTGTTGATGTCAGATGAACTATAGTGGTTGTCATGAACACATTCTCCTCTTTTTAAACTGGGGACGGAGCAGGAGGAGCTGCCTGTCTCGCCTCGGGGTTTGTGCCATGTCCCTGAAGTCTGCACTTAAAAACACAAATTAATGGAACTATACTATAAATACAATACATGATTTGCTATGACTGGCAGTCTAGTCAGAAATGGTAATACTGTATAATGTGTGTCTGCAGCCATCAATGAGTTTCCTGAGGACATCTTCACAAAAGAACAGAGGAAGAATGGGGCTGTTTGCCTACACGCTCTATGTGTAAGACACCTGCACCAGTTTTTCTTGTCCGTAATGATTTGATGCATGATGAGCTGAGATTGTTTTGTCCTTTCTACTCAAGGCCATCTACATGTTTTATGCCCTGGCCATCGTTTGTGATGATTACTTTGTCCCTTCCCTTGATAAAATATCGGAGGCAAGTTGCACAGTTCTGGTGATTGTACATGAAGTTGTTTTTCATTCTACTGATACGTTTTTCTTGATTGCACAGAACTTGCAGCTCAGTGAAGATGTCGCCGGAGCCACATTTATGGCAGCAGGAAGTTCAGCCCCAGAGCTTTTTACTTCTCTGATTGGTATGTATCGCTCCATATCAAGGTACTTCGTCATCTTTTTCTGTAGGCTCAGCAGACACATCCCACCACCTAAACATGCTAATACAGTCATCTAATCCATTTATAGGTTAGCACATCCGCAATGTCTCGACAGATGGCCTGACTAAATAACTAAGTGTAAAACATTTTACACAGATGGAAGGCAGATATTTTTGCATATTAGTGAACAGTTTGGATTGACTTGTGACTTGGGTAATTTAGACTAATTTGTTGTAGTAAGATTCTGACTCATATGAATATAGTATTGTGCTGCTCTTCCATAAGAAAGTTCCTGTGTGCAGGTGTGTTCATCACAAAGGGGGATGTGGGAGTGGGCACAATTGTGGGCTCAGCCGTCTTCAACATCCTGGTGATCATCGGCCTCAGTGGGATCTTTGCAGGACAAGTACTTCACACAGATCTGTGCCAGCAGAGAGTGTGACGTGAATTCACATGTCTTTGATTTCAGACTGTGGTCCTGACCTGGTGGTCTCTGTTTCGCGATTCCATGTACTACATTCTGTCTGTGCTCACGCTCATCTTGGTAAAAATCAGTATTACGACACTTTGGAATGAATCTTTTCTTCATTTGAAATATCTGCCCTTTCCACAGGTCATCTATGATGACAGAGTTGTTTGGTGAGTTTGACATATATATGACATGTTTGTGACATTTATATAACACATATGTGACGGGCTAAGTCCCACCCACTTCCCAGTCTGCTCTGATTCTGGAAGTAAAAGACGTATTCATTTTCCCAAAGGAAAATATTAAGAATTTGAAGGCCAGATGGAGGCTGTGTGCTATGTGATAACAACTATCCACTGTGTGGTTGTTTTCATTTCAACAAGCAGTAAAACACTGCCCTGAGGTTTTGAACTGCCAATAATGAACACACTGAATCAGCAATGTTAATCACTCTTTCATAAACAGATTTTACATAAACATTACATATTCTTACTTAAATGTTATATAATGGAAAGATAATTTAGCATTTCTTGTGGTTTTCTGAGGGGGTATTTTGAAAGGCTGCTGTATGTGTTCTAAATCTGTTGAGAGTAATGCTTGTGTTTTCGGACCACAAGTTGAGGTCAAGTTAGTGCTTGTCAGTAGGCGTGATTAAGAAAAGGTTTATTTGTGACCACAGTATTCATTAGTGATGTGTGAAGAAAGTGCTCGGTCACAGTTGAGCTTCACCTTATTCCACCTCTCCGGTTTCTCTGGAAACAGGATGCTTTTGCAGTTATACAAATGAAAACTCACTTACAAAGCATTGAAAAGGTCTGCTAATGAACCGTGTTTGGTCTAAACTCACCCGTTTTCCAAGAGTATGTTCTGTGTGTGTGTTGTTAAGGTGGGAATCTATTCTCCTCATGGCGTTATATGGAATATATATAGTAATCATGAAGTAAGTAAGGCTATATACTTGTCATAAAATAAATCTAAATTTATTAACATCAGAAATATTCATACCTTGTGCAGATTTAATTCCCCAATATCAGTGTTTGTTATGCGCCAGTGCCAGAGCGCAGAGCCGTGTTGCTCCAGATCTGAACATGCACAAGAAGACAAGATGGTGGATGAGGCAGCGGCTTGCAACACTTCCATCGTTCTCCTGAGTAAAGGTGATTGAAGAACAGACGGAGGCTCTGTTAGTGCTTTTCCTCAGGTTTAACAGTGTGTGTTCAGTTCAGAGTCATGGTGACTCTGGCCCGGTGGTGATGGTGGACGAGCTCCTCATCCTGAACCCTCACAAACTATCCTTCTCGGAGGCCGGGCTGCGCATCATGATCACACCACACTTCTCCCCTCGCACCAGGCTCACAATGGCAGGACGCATGCTCATCAGTGAGGTCAGTGCAAACATGTCAATTTGAGTAAATTTAACATCATGAATACATCTCCCTCCTGTGACAAACAGAGACAGAGGCTGATACGCAGCTCGAAGAGTCAAAAGGAAGAAGCTGGGCCTGGATCCAGGCGGACGTCCAGCTGTAGTGTGAAGAGGACGACGTCCTACGGTCTGGAGAACGGAGGAGGGCATTCCCGCGTTGGAGACACAGAGTCTGTGGGGAAACAAGGGGCTGAAAGGGAGGGCCCTGAGGAAAAGGAGGATGATGGGATCTTCAGACCTTGGCACTTTCCAGGTAACGACATTTTGATGTGTTTCACATGAAGAGATGAAAGCACAATCTTGATGCGGTGAGGGGATGCATCTGTGCAGGAGGCTGCGGCGCGAGGGTGAAGTGGGTGACCACGTGGCCGCTGGGCGTCCTGCTCTACTTCACTGTGCCCAACTGTCTTCAGCCGCGATGGCAGCGATGGTTCATGGTCACCTTTATTGGCTCGACTGTGTGGATCGCAGTCTTTTCCTACCTCATGGTGTGGATGGTAAGAGTCACAGAATACAGTTGAGTCATGTTTATGAAGTATGTACAAGATGTACTTCATGGTCTCTCAGGTTACCATCATCAGTTCCACACTGGGGATCCCAGACTACATTATGGGCATCACGTTCCTGGCGGCTGGGACCAGTGTACCAGACTGCATGGCCAGTCTGATAGTCGCGCGACAAGGTATACACTATATAGACTTATTGTTACTGCTGTGAATCTCCTCTGAGCTCACTCTGCTCTCACAGGGATGGGCGACATGGCTGTATCCAACTCCATTGGCAGCAACATCTTTGACATCCTGCTGGGGTTGGGGTTTCCGTGGGCATTGAGAACTCTGCTGGTGGATCATGGATCAGTGGTAAGTCAGTGTTAGCAGTGGCATGTGGGGGAAGTGAGCATTCATATTCATCTTCTGTTTCAGGTTCATATCAATAATAAAGGGTTGGTCTATTCGGTTGTCTTGTTGTTGGCCTCTGTTTTACTGACTGTGAGTCACCGCTTGTATTTATCCACTTATCACTAGTCAAAACAACATATTACTTAAGTTTCACCTCTTAAAGTTGTGTGTGTTACGTTTGTCAGGTGATGAGTGTGCATCTGAACCATTGGAGACTGGACCGTCGCCTGGGCTTTGGCCTCTTGTTTCTCTATGCTGTCTTCTTACTCTGCTCAATCTTCTTTGGGCAGATGTGAGGCCTCCAAGTCAAAGCTCATCCAAGTATCACCCTCATCATGACGCTGTTTGCTAAAGCCAAAAAGAGGCTGTTCGGAATGGGATAGAGCTCAGGTGGGGTAACGTGGACCAATCCATAACTAAACCAAAAGTGTGAAAGGCAGAGTTGAGATCAACTATCTCTGGTGTAGATACTTTGTAATTTATTGATTTTGTTTCCAAGGAGAGGCAATAAATGAGATGAACACAAGCATAAAAGAAATGTTACGGAGATAATGACAAACATTTTTCTTCTATAGTTGCAGCATTAGCCATGTCATTTGGAGTCTTATTCCTGTGCATGTCATAAAGTAGCGTTCCAAAAGTGCTGCCTTAAGCCACATACAACAGAACAGTTCCATGCCATCGTAAAACACAAAGCCCTATTTAAATGTGTGGTAGATTAAATACCAGTAAGTCTGATCTTTCTGTGTAGCCTCTACTGTACTTGTATTGGAACGTAACATTACTGTGGTCATATGGGTATTTTTCTGATTGTGGTAAATATACTGGGAGTAAAGAAACAAGAATAGAATAATTTAGTCATTTATTTTACATCAGCTCTGGGGGTACATCACTAAATATATATATTTAAAACTAAATATATATATTTATTTTTAAAGACACTACAATCATAATTTAGAAAAAAGCATTAGAACTATTGTTTGTTGACTTGTTGTAGGTGAAATTTGCACTTTGGTGAAACTTTTAGCACAAAGCTTCAGGACAAAAGAAGCCTCATGCAGAGCCGCAATAATAAATCACTTTTAACTGTAGTGCACTCTTTACATGTGGTCATGTGACTAAACAATGCTGCAAACATCTGCTTTTCTGCTCAGTGGATGAATCAGTGCAAACAGGACTTTTGATACACATTACGGACGCCTTGGTCTCAATAATAACGTTAGAGATAGAAAAGATATTTTTATGGTTGTTTAGACACATGTATTTGTACGAATTAGATTTTACAAACTATGAATGTTTGATAAATAATTTGTATTTAACAGATCATGTAGCCTAGACCTCTTTTGTGAGTTGTTGAGTTAAAGGATCTGAACACATTCGTCCGAGAGTTTGTTCACTGTTTATATTAGTGACATGCAGACGCATTACAATTCTGTTTACAACACTGACGTATGTATACGTAATAGTATTTCAATATGTGCTGTAGCAATTGTAGCTTTGTTCAAACTAAAAGTGCAAATCTATACTAGTATGTTTCATTTATTTATTTATTGGGTTAAATACAATTGACCAACTCGAGGAAATAGTAATCTTATGCTTACAGTTTATCCACTTATTGTAATACCAAAATACCACTAGATTAAAGCAGGGCAAGTAAACTTATGATCTGGGGTCAGTGAAAGACGTACAATATGTTGTTTAAGACTTGGCACATTTTTACATTGATATTTTTTGTCAAGTTACCTGCGGTAGACTTTTTTACTTGTGAATTAACAGCACGCTTCCTCATAATTAGTGCTGTAAATGTTGAAATGATTGCTTTAGAGAATGCTTCAAACATAGAGGACTGTTGTATTTTGAGTGCAATAAAATGTGCAATAAAAAGATGCATTTTTTCTCCTTTTGTTTTATTGCAGTGTTTAAGGGGTACAGGGCACATGAGTGTTTCCTCGATAGCACGGCTTGGATTAAAAACAATTTAGATTTTAGGAAGTGTATGTGTTTTAGCCCTTGGAGTGTGCACAGTGGGAGTGTAAGCCTAATATAATAGTACTCAAAACAAAAAGGTATGAATGAACGATTTGAAGATCACTGCCCTCTAGTGGGGAAAAATATGTAGTGAAAAACAAAGAAACAGCATAGGCCAAAAAATTAGGATAGTATTTATTTTCTTTGAGAAAACAAATTAAACAATCCATCACATTCCCAGTAAAATACAACCTAAAATTATAAACCTATACAATCATCAACATTAGCTGAATGTCAACTCTTGACTATTTCTTGCACTGTTTATGTTTGGCCAAAATAACTAACAGACTATACGTGCCATTTGAACCATCAGAACTGAATAGAGGCAGTGGAATCCTCCTCACATAGAGTCCCACATTAAAGTGAAACATTAAAACAAAAACAATTTATCCAGTATATGAAAATAAACCAGAGAAATATGCTATATGTCATCATTGCTAAAAACAATGAGATAAGAACCCATGGTATACTGTACATTGTACTAGGTGTTAGTTGGCTTTAAAACAGGATATTGTGGTTATTTTATTATACAGCATTCCCAACACGTGTATCAGCTAAAGCTAACGACACAACTCTACTCTGTGGTGCATGTTGTTGTCTAATGGCGTTATCTCCACTTTGGAAAAAGCAGTACGAGAAAATGCAGAGACAATGGGCCTCATGTATGAAACTTGCGTACGGCCAAATCCGGGTGTAAATCATGGATCTATTATAATAACTGGATAGGGTATTACTAGTTTATAGGTGAAGAACCATGTCCTCGGGGGATTCTTGCGGTCCGATTCAGTGGGGATTTTAGTGTCCCTTGTCATCCTGAACTTTTTTTCTTCTTAAATCCTTCGGTTTTCTTTAAATCCACACTTTACTGCCACAAACTCTGCACCCTGCCTTCCCGCTCTGGCTCCGCTCTTCCGCTGCTCTGATGATCAAGATAAGGATTCCTTTATTCGTCCCACAGTGGGGAAATTTCCAAGCAGCTCTGATTGGTCAGAGCGCGGCCGAGCCCCTCTGTGCGCGTGCATGAAAGCCATACACGCACGTTTGCGCTGATCCACTGAGCAGAACCGGGAGGACCAGACGATGCCCAAATATAGGCGAGTTCGGCTAATCTCCCAGTCTCCATGAAGTCCCATGAGCACAAGCTGTTCATATGAATAGGGTGCCATCTTGGATCACCGGGGCTTGATTATAATAATAATAATAATAATAATACATCAGTTTTATATAGCGCTTTTCAAGGACTCAAAGACGCTTCACAAGTTCATGACACAAACACACACGTTTAGACAGACACACAAACTAAAAATCTAAGAGTGAGGAAGAAGGGTAGAGAGTTTAAACTAAGAGTCAAATGCTCGGAGGAAAAGGTGAGTTTTGAGCTGTTTTTTGAAGGAGTTTAGAGAGTCCGAGTTTCTGAGATGGAGGGGGAGGGAGTTCCAGAGAGTGGGAGCAGAGATGGCGAAAGCTCGGTCCCCCAAGGTTCGGTGCTTAGATTTGACAGTGGGAGTGAGGAGATGTGAGTCTGCAGATCGGAGTCGGCGGGAGGGACTGTAGGGCTGTAGAAGTTCAGTGAGGTAAGGAGGAGCGAGGTTATGGAGGGCTTTGTAGGTGATGAGGAGGATTTTGAAATGGATGCGCTGTTTAACAGGGAGCCAGTGGAGTTTTTGAAGGACAGGGGTGATGTGCTCTCTGGAGCGGGTCTGAGTGAGGAGGCGGGCGGCGGAGTTTTGGACATATTGTAGTTTTTGGAGATCAGATGAAGGAAGGCCATATAAGAGACTGTTGCAGAAATCGAGTCTGGAGGATATGAATGCATGGATCAGGGTTTCAGCAGCGGTGGAGGAAAGATATGGGCGAAGACGGGCAATGTTTTTAAGATGAAAGAAGGCAGTTTTGGTGATGTTGCGGATGTGGGGCTTGAAGGAAAGGGTGGGATCAAGGATGATTCCGAGGTTTCTGATCTGAGCAGAGGGTGAGATGGTGTGGCTGTCGATGGAGAGTGTGAAATGCTGGGTATTGGAAAGGAGGGACTGGGGCCGATAATAATAATTTCTGATTTTTTGCAGTTGAGTTGGAGGAAATTGGTGGACATCCAGGATTTTATTGCGGATATGCAATTTGTGATGGAGGAGATGGTGGCAGGGGTTATGGATTTGGCTGAGAGGTAAAGTTGAGTGTCGTCTGCATAGCTGTGGAAATTGAAACCGTGCTGGTGGATGATGTGGCCAAGGGGGAGTATGTAAAGAATGAAAAGGAGGGGACCAAGCACCGAGCCTTGAGGTACTCCGTGGGTGACCGGGATGCAGCGGGATGAGCAGTTGTTGATGGCGATGTAGTGAGATCTGTTGGAGAGGTAGGATGAGAACCAGGAGAGTGCAGAGCCGGTAATGCCAGTGGTGAACTGGAGACGGTGGAGGAGGATGGAGTGGTCAATAGTGTCGAAGGCGGCGGAGAGGTCAAGGAGTAGCAGGATGGAGAGGGAGCCAGAATCTGAGGTGAGGAGGAGGTCGTTGATGACTTTGAGCAGTGCTGTTTCAGTGCTGTGTTGGGAACGGAAACCGGATTGAAATTTGTCAAAGAGGGAGTTGGAGTTGAGATGGTTGTTGAGTTGAGCAGCGACAGATCGTTCGAGGATTTTAGACAGAAAGGGAAGGTTGGAGATGGGGCGAAAGTTGTTGGGGTCGTCAGGATCCAGGTTTGGTTTTTTGAGGATGGGTGTGATGGTTGCCATCTTGAAGGCGGGGGGCACGGTACCAGAGGTGAGAGAGGAGTTGATTATTTCTAAAATGAGGGGGCTGAGAGACGGGAGGCATGATTTGACGAAAGACGAAGGGATGGGGTCCAGGGGGCAAGTGGAGAATTTAATATTTGTAAATAACTTTTGGAGATCTGGTTCTGAGATAGGTGAGAGGTGGGAGAGGGGGCTTACAGTTCGGGGAGAGGGGTCAGGTATGACAGGAGCGGGGTTTTGGTGAGCTGCTGGTGGATGTTGTCGATTTTGGATTTGAAAAAAGTAAGAAAGATGTTGCATTTTTCCGTGGTAAAGGATTGAGTTATATTGTCCGGTGGTTTAAGAAGTTTGTTGACTGTGGAAAACAGGGTGCGGGGATTGGAGGAGCCAGAGGTGATCATTTCAGTATAGAAAGCAGTGCGGGTTGTGGAAAGAGCAGATCTGTAGAGGAGAGTGTGGTCATTGAGGGCTTGGAGATGAACAGTGAGGCCGGTTTTATTGTGAAGGCGTTCAAGTTGACGGCGTTGTTTTTTGAGGTTGCGTAGCTCTGTGGTGTACCATGGTGCAGAACGGGTGAAAGTGACAGATGCGGTTTTGATAGGAGCCAGGGTGTCTAAGCAGGAGGAGAGTGTGCTGTTGTAGTAAGATACCAGGTCAGGAGTGTTTGCGGGAGAGGTGAACTCTGATGTTGATAGGGTTTGGGATAAGTGGGTTGAGAGAGTGGTGGAACAGAGGGAATTTAGGTTGCGGAAAGAGAGAGTGCGGGTTTGCTTGATGTGGGGGTTAGGGATGTTGATGTGAAATGATAAGGCCAGGTGGTCTGATATTGCAAGGTCTGTATGAGAGAGTGAGTCAATGTGTAGGCCAGTGGAGCAGATCAGGTCCAAAATATGGCCACGGGAGTGGGTGGGAAAGTCGACGTGCTGTGTGAAGTTAAAATTTTGCAAGATGTCCAGGAAGTCTGTGGAAACTGTGTTGTGTGCAGAGTCAATGTGTATGTTGAAGTCCCCGAGAAGTAAAATGGAAGATGAGACCGTACAAAGATGTGTGATGAATTCCGATAGTTCTGAAAGAAAGGATGGATTTGGTTTGGGAGGGCGGTAAATTATTGAAATAACCAGAGGGGAGGGGCCAAGGAGTTTGAATGACAGTTGTTCAAATGAGAGAATGGCTGGAATGGGGAGGGGCTTGAGTTTGAGGGATTGCCGATGGATTGCGGCAATACCCCCTCCGCGGCCACTAGTGCGTGGTTGGTCAATGTATGAAAAACCCTGTGGAGTGGCTTGGTTGAGTGAGAAATAGTCCAGGGGTTTTTGCCATGTTTCAGTGATGCAGAGTAAGTCCAGTTGTGTGTCCGTGATGAATTCATTTAGTATGTGGCTTTTGTTGTTTAAGGATCTTGTGTTGAGGAGCGAGAGTTTGAGGGGCTTTTGTTGTGAAAGAGTCAGGGCGGAAGTGGAAATGGGCCGTAGGTTATGTATGTTAACTTGACGTGCGTTCTGATGACGCGCAGAGCTGAAAGCGGAAGCGGAGTGGATGACGGATCGTATTGTTGAGATGTTATTTTCACATGTGGAGTTGTAGATGAACTTTCGTCGTGAGCCCCGATGTATGTAGCGGGGGCGGCGTAGAAGACCGGCATGTTTAATGCTCGCAGCGATGTCAAAGGAAGGCGGCAAGCAGTGGGTTAGCCGGTGGAGCTGGAAGGAGGAGTAGCGGAGAGCCATGGTGGAGCAGGTGATGGGCAGCAGGTGAGCGAGGATGATAGCAGGGAAGATGGTGAGTAGATGGACCAGACACTGCATACCTTGAAGGCGGGTGAGCGTGGCTTACACTGGGTAAAGTTAGCTTCGCTTCGCTGCCAGGTAGCGCGAGTTTGTGTAGGCCCAGACCACCGTGCAGCTCAGCTGTAACTTCCAGAAGTAGGCAGACCGGTTTGGAAAAGGTCGGATCTCACTTTGGATTGAGAAAAAAATGGCAGTGTGTCCAGGTGCAGGCAGTAAAAGTTCCAAAGAAGCTGTAGAATTGAAGATAGCCGGTGGGAGAAGCGGCAGCCAAAACGCGCCAGCGTCCTCTCCGCGTCCGTAACGTAGCAACGTAACAACTGTTATAACACTCCTAAAGTTTATGTTGTCGTGTCACTCAATAAAAAATTATATTTTTACCTGAAACCTGCAGAAATTCAGTGAAAAGCCTTTATCTTGAAACCGTGGGATTACTTTTGTATTAATCTTTTTCAGATGAGTTACACAGGGGAAATTAAGAACGGCTCTCAGGCCGTGACGGGGGTAAGTCCCTTTCAGATAAAAACCTGTAAGAATATTCACACCGATCTGAGCTTGAATTCTGCTTTGTTCCCAGTTCTTTGCCAGCAGGCTCGCGCACCCCTTTGTTCTTTTGTCCAACCTAATGGCCGTCAATAACTGCGAGTGAGTTTTCTCTGAAACAGTGTTTCTGCTTGGGCTCCACTGGCCCAAGCCCTAAAGGTGTTCGCACGGCGCAATCCGGACCAGGACTTTACTGGTCTCCGCCAAGAAGCCCTCTTGTTGGACTCCGAATATGCCTCAACACCATCCAAGGTAATCTGTTCGGCAGTAAATAAACAATTTGCTTCCCCTAGAACGCCAAAGGAGGAAAGTTGGAAAGAGCAGTTAAAACGAGAGATAATGGAGGATGTTAAGGTCCAAATGAAAAGCCTTGCTTGGGAAATTGTGGCGGAGCTCAAACCTGTGGTTCAGCCCAACACTCCCACTTCAGCAACTTCCCGCCAACGGTGGTACAATGAGCGCGATGACCAAGGTAGGCCCATCTGCCATAACTGTAGGAGAGGGGGACATATAGCCAGGTATTGTAGAGCTGCAGCTACACATGCCCAGGATTTAAACTAGATGTCCCTGCCACTGAGGTCCGAGTAGCAGGGCTCGACCACACACCGACAACATCCAGGGCCCAAAAAACTTTTGTAGGCCAATGTCCTACCATACAAGTAAGTGCCGGAGGCATTACTCTGAAAGGGCTGTTAGACACTGGCTCCCAAGTGACGTTGATGTCTGAAAGTTTATTTAATGCCCACTTTACCAAAGCTAGGCTCAAAGGGGCACCCCTTTGTTTCATTTGAGGGCTGCTAACGGCCTTGAAATCCCCGGCTATACCATTATGGATTTCGAATTAGAGGGTGTTAATTTCCTGAGAGGGGCGTGGTAATTGTGGAAGACCGAGACTGTACACACCCACTCATTCTAGGCATGAATGTAAAATTGGGTTGTTGGGATGCAGTTTTTAAATGTCCCAAGACATCGCCCCTCCAGCATCTCAAAAAGCAGAAGGTGTGGAGGGATGTGTTTGCCACATGCTCCCGTATAGAGGCTGTAGCCTCCAGAGATGGTAATGTGAGCTTAGCTTCCCGAAAGAGTGTCACTGTTCCCCCAAGAAGTGAGTTGTTGATGTGGGGGCGGGCCAAGAGTGGGCCATGTGGGGCAAACTACAGCGCCCTGGTAGAGGCTATGCCTGATACTGGTGCCATAGGTGTCGCTAAATCACTAGTTGTAGTGAAGGATGGAAGGCTGCCCCTCCGTGGTCTGTAACCCTCATTCCTACAGCGTCTCCTATGTCGTTTTGAGAAGCTAGGGCGGTTGTCCAATATAGAGGATGGGGATGTGCACGGGGCTGAGGATCTCTGTCTGTCCCTGGTAGAGGAAGGTGTTGTAGAAGTGTCTCTGATTAATACAGCAGTCTCTCATCCAGGCCCAGAACTGCCCCCAGAAGTTGGAGACCTGAGCGATCGGGCAGACCTAACGGCGCAACAACGGGAGCAGCTACGCACCCTACTGGCCAAGTGGGAGAAAGTGTTTGCCCAACATGAGGATGATTTTGGAAGGACCAACCTCGTGCAACACAAAATTCCAACTGGAAACTCCGCCCCCGTCAGGGAGAGGTACAGGCTCATCCCACCCTTGTTATACAAGGAAGTAAAGTCACTGCTTGTGGGCATGCTGGAACAAGGGGTGATCAAGGAAAGTTGCAGTCCCTGGGCAGCTCCTATAGTTCTGGTCTGCAATAAAGATGGCACTTGGCGCTTCTGCATGGACTATAGGAAGCTAAATGCGGTCACGCACAAGGACGCCTTCCCTTTACCCAGAATTGAGGAAACACTGGTCTGAGTAAATCTGAGTGGTTTTCCACCTTAGACCTTGCCGTGAAAAGACTGCATTCACCACTCCCCTTGGACTTTTTGAATTTGAACGTATGCCGTTTGGTTTATTCAACGCACCTGCCACTTTTAAGAAGCTCATGCAAAATTGTCTGAATAGCCAAATAGCAGAATCCTTATTGGTCTACCTTGATGACATAATATTTTTTTCTGCTGATTTCTCCTCCCATTTACAGCACCTGGACCAGGTGTTTGAAAGGTTGCAGCGACATGGACCGAAGCTCAAGCCAACAAAGTGCAAGCTTTTACAACGATAAGTAACGTTCCTGGGACATGTGGTGGACCGTGATGGGGTTAGGCCTGATCCAGGTAAAATAGAGGCTGTACAAGGCTGGCCTATTCCAACCACTGTCAGAGAAGTGAGGGCATTTCTCGGCCTGGCAGGTTACTATAGGCGCTTTGTAGATGGCTTTGCCAAAATAGCCCGTCCCCTAAACAGGCTCCTCACTGGCATTCCCGCTAACGCCTGTGGACGCCTGAATGCCAATGCTCTTTTGAGGTCCTCAGAGCTGCCTTAACATCTGCACCCATCCTAGCCTATGCCCACTACGACCGTCCCTCTATCGTTTACACTGATGCAAGTAATCAGGGACTTGGCGCAGTTTTGTCACAGATCCAGGACAGAAAGGATAATTTGCCATTCCAAAAAAAATTATAAAATATGGAGGATGATTTGATTGGATTAGAAAGTCCAACAGTTGCGTTTTTCTAGAAGGAATCGGCCTGATCCAGGGCTGGGCAATATGGCAAAAAAGTAAAATCTCGATTTTACTTCCAGCTTTGGACAATTTTGATTTTTAATTGATTTTCTTTAAGGTCACCGAAGACAGACTATGCCCTCAAAAATATGTTTTGATCTTTCCGCTCAATATTCATGTTTCAAAACTATTTTTAGGCCTGAGCCCCAACCGGGGTAAGGGCCTATTGCTTACCCCGGTGAACTGTCATAAGTCCCTTAGGGCTACGCTTTGGGTTTCAGAATATTTATAAGCGTGACTTTCATAAATACGCTAGTTTCGAGCGCAGCATTTATTGAACAGCCGCAGGTGCGTACGCTCGAATCGGTTAGGATCTCACATGTTCATAAATGCCACGTCAGATCTTGCGTATCTGGAATCTACACCCAAAATGTACACCTTTTTCTGCGCAAGTTTCATAAATGAGGACCAATGAGAGAAAATAGACATTCACAAGAGAAAAATGACGCCGACTTGAAACTGGTGATAGGTGTAATATGACTATGAGCCACAGGAAACTCAAATCATTTCAGCTACAACACGTCCTTCTGAACGTCACATTTGTCTACTATTCCTCCCACATGAGGTTACAGTCAATGTTTCACTTGGTTTTGTAAATGACAATGTTCATTCAATTTCAAAACAAATCGTCCTAATTGTTTAAAAAAAACATTAAGAACATAAATAAATATTCTGCAGTGCCATAAGTGGTGAGTAATGGATTTTAACCCCCACATTAAAGAGGGCACCATTTTTTATATATTAGATAAAACTTTCCCAATTATATTCTATGTGTCAAAGAAATATATAAATATTAAATGTATTGGCAGAAAGAGCATTAGGAGACATATGTTTTAAAGTGTGAAACAATGGGAAAGAAAAACATGGAGGACTGTGCATACAGCGAGGTGAAATATAGCACTTCCCTTCTTGCTCTCAAACTGTCCCCGTGCAGTCCATAGGTTTGGACAGGTGCAGAGATGAGGGAAATCAGCAGGAAAGCATCATGATGGAGGGATCGTCTTGTTCTGGTAAATGGAGGCTTTTTCTTTTAAAAGAGCGAGACATAGATGACAGCTCCAGCTCCCTGCACACAAAAACATCAAATATATTCAAATATTATTATGGTGTTGTCCCAGTGTGTCTCAATATTCAACATTCTGCATTGTCTTACCCTCAGGAGGTTCTGCCATGGGAGGCTTGAGACAGTACATGTGGTAGCCTCGATCACAGTCGTCACAAAACAGAAGCTGATCCTAGGACAACACCTCATTACTCACATGAAAACTAATACTAGAACTGTGACAAAACGTAAAACTTTATTCATTCAAGTGGAACAATTCAAGTTCCTGTTCCCTTCAGTAGCATGAAACCCTTGTAATTTCTTGCTAAAATGATTAGTTAAAATGACTAACATACACATCTCATAAATGATGCCAACTATCTACTTACTATAAATTCTAATGGTTCCAGAACTAGTACTGTGAACACATGCGGCGACACTTACATCGTTTTCAGAGGTCCCACACATGTTGCAACACTTGCACTCAATGCACTGCCACCGATACGTCTTCACCGCCGCCATCATGATGGGGGTGAACTGCAGACACGAGGGGTGACCTACAAAGAACAATGTAATCTTCAAACTTTCCTTTTTCCTCGAGGAACAACTTTGCACTGCAGAACAGAGAACATGTGGTAATAGGGTGTGTTTGATAAACATTTTCTTAAAAGTGGATATTGGCGGAAATTTGAAGCTTTTTGAAACGAGAAGTCTGCAATGGATAAGCTCATTGTCAGTATTGTGTATGTAGATTACATCAGGACAGAAACCATTTGTTTGCTTTTAATTTGACAAATAAAAAATAAAGCTTTTTTGTGAGACGAGTGGGGAAAAACTGTCCAAAAACATTATGAACATTCATCCATCCATTTGTCTTTGCTGAATTGCTATTATAAAATTAAAGGATTAATAATAGGTATTCAGAGTTTATAAAAAGAGAAAAAAGATGTTTTTCTCCCGGTGGATCATCTGGATTATGTGAACAAATACAGTATGTGAAAGCCCAGGTTGGGCATCAGTCGCTGATGCTTCAGTCGCAAAGTTTCTACTCGACAGGTAAAGTTTGGCATTCTATTTATAGAAATCCATTTCTACTCAAATACAGGTTTTCTGATCTTGTAAAATTCAGGTGAAACTCTGAATGTAACTAATTGGCTCATATGTTGTAAAAACCCCAAATAAAACATCTCAAAAACTCGACTGTAATAAAGTAAATTCAATAATAATGTTGTTTTGTTGTTTTGACACAGTATTGGACATGACATCTTTCGGTGAACAGCTTTTAAGGTTCATTATTGTATCTGTGTCAATATGAGGACATTTGTATGTATTAATAATGTTGACACAGAACCTACCTGAGCGGCCACAGTCGGAGCAGGACACCAGGTCTTCTGATTGGCCGGTCTTGTGGTTGGTTTTGGAGTCGCCCAGGCAGAAGTCACAGTAGTTATTGGGCAACGCAATACCATCCGGGCCTTTCTTTGGAGCTGCAAACACAGAGCAGCGTTAGGCCTCCGCTTCCTTTAGCCAACAACTCCTACCACACTTACTTTTGGGCTCGTCGGGACGTGGTGGAGGGGGTTCCAGATCCAGATCCTCCTTTTCCTCCCCTTCCTCATCCACCAGGTGGGAGTGGGCGTAGTGATAGCTCAGGCCCGGACGGTTCTTGTAACGCTTCCCACAAACTGTCAATAAAAATCAGTTGACATCTTCATATGCATAAGCAATCAGTAGGAAGTCAGACTTTCTGTGACTTATGGATGGTGGTAGTGATTATAGTGATATATGATGCTAAATATGCAATGTGATATTTCAAACTACTATCAAATGATGAACAGTCTGCTTCTGCTTCAACTGGAAACAGGCCACTTATGCATTAAATCATCCTTTCCTCGCTTAACAACAGCCAAACATGGCATTTGATTTTGAGTGGAATTGTGAATTAATAACTGTGTTCTGTGAATCTTCGTGACAAAGCTGCCATTGTGCATATTTTTACCCGAAGGGGATTTAGGGCTTGTCACAAGTGAGTATCCACAACAAACCAGCAACTAACATCAACAAACAAACGTAACAAGCAATTATTTTTTTTAAAGTCCCTGACAAAATGGGAAATGTATAATGACTGGGAATTTCCAATTACATCCTGAATCAATATGTAAGGGGTTGCATCTGAATAAAATTAATCTTTCCAGCACAAATACAGTGATGACTAACATGGATCAAAACAGAGTCAGGACAAAAAGTGAAATGAGAGAAAAAATACCTCTTTCAGAAGGTTTGGAAAAATGCTTTTGTTTGAAAGTGTCTGAAAGAAAGAGGGAAAAGAGAGCAGAGACAGACACAGAGAAATAAGCTCAAGGACGATAAAGATCGGCTTCATTCAAGTGAAGACAGCAGAGGACAAAGCAGTTTCACAACAGAGTGGAAGTGAAAGCAAGACTTCCCCATTTCAGACAAAACACCAACTGTTAAAAGAAAATCTATATTGGAATGAGGTTCAGAGCTCTATACATTATAATAATGTGTACACATACAGATTATTCAAGAATATTAATATTGAATAACAAAGCTGATCTAATAATTGTTGCATTTAAGGTCTGCACGATTGTGAAGAAATATTGTGAAAATCAATTACTGCTTCATAGATGGAATAATGTTCAAAGAGCACTGAGGGATCCAAAGGGAGGGAAAAATAAAACTTGAGAAAACAGTTGAAGTTGCACTTATAATAATAATAATAGTTGGTTGGTTTCATATAGCGCTTGTTTTGGACACTTAAAAACGCTTCACAAAATTATTCATTCACACAATACACAGTGCTAAAAAACTACATATGTAGCCACAGCTGCCCTCAGGCACCCTGACAGAAGCGAGCAACTGGTGGTATTGGCCAGACTCAATCTAGGCAATGTGTGTGAAGTGTCTTGCCGAGGTACATTACGTCAGTTTGACATTTTAGCCTCTGAGATCTTATGGGATCATGCCTTCACATTCAGGAGGCACCACATAATTATTTATTGGACAAGTCTCACATTCTCACTTTTGGTTTTGACTTTTCTATTACCAGATATATCATTCAAAACAAACTCAAAAGAGAAATACTACCTTATATAAACTCTTGTCAGCCCATTTATTGCACATCCAGTGTTCCTTGTATTTCTAAGCCTGTTTGAGAGATCTTAACACAGATTGCAACAAGATCACTTTCAATTAGTAAAGTAAATATTGCAGTCTTTGTGATTTGCCAATTGTGCACACTGAAATTGTGATATTGCTTTGATTGCGATTAATCGTGCAGCCCTATTGCATATGAGGACCAACGTGACAGGACTGGTTAAACTCACTGTCACAGGCATAGGGCTTGTCTCTGTCCTCTTGGGCCGCAGCATCCAGTTTCTTCTTGTTACTGCCCGCACCACGTCCCTTAAAACATAATTCGAACCGTTTTAGTTTCTGATTCACTGATAATTTGATCCCTAATGAGAAAGTACCTTCCCCTTTCCTTTTCCCCTTCGTTTTGGCGTGTCTTCTTCATAATCTTCATCGTCCAGGTCGTCAAAGAAGTCATCGGCCTCAAGAATCCTCTGCAACAACATGGATAGACCACGATGGACAAATAAGCAGGAACTCTCTAAAATCATGGTATTTCATCCCTACACAAACTAACACTTATCTTATCCCAAACCGAAACCAAATGAGTGGCTCCTAACACTAACCTTAACTTGATTGTGACTCTTAATAAAACATTTAAATACAGAAATAGCAAGAAACTTGGAATATTTCCCTCAGCGTGTGACGAAATACCAAGATTTTAGAGAGTCCCAAAATAAGTCTTGTAGATGATTCTAAATAAACACCTTTCGAGCCCGGGACGCTGGGTTGAGGCCCCCGGTGAGGTCGCTCATGTTGGAGTCCTCTTCGTTCCCGCGAAGCTCTACACCTCTTTTGTCTAAAGTGTCTCCCTTTAGCAGAGCTTCAAGACTGCTGCCATCCGACGACAACAGAGAGTCCTTTTTCAGACCTATATCAAGCTCTGCCATTTGAAAATGCGGTTAGGGACACAACACAAAACCACAAAAAAGTTTACTGATTAATGCGTTTCAGCTCCCTGAAACGCATTAATCAATCAATTATACATGTATTATACTGTGTACACTGTGATGTGGTCTATACCCGTCTTCAGATGAGGGAAGATCAGATCCTCAGGAGGGTGAGCTTTCCGTCGCTTTCTCCATCTTCGAGAAGGATAAGTGTACAGCTGCCCTGGAGCCATGCCTAAAACACCAAAAGAAACTTTTAAGGTGTGTTTTAAAAATAAATGTACACCCCACACTTTCTGAATTAAAGCTTCCGGACTTGAATTTTTCAGCCTTAGACTTTTATTGTGATAAGTATTTAAAACAGACAGTAAGGGCAAACAGCAGTCACATGACAAGCATGACCTGGCCCTCGTTGTCTCTTCTCCATCCAAATGTAACAGTTGCTCTGGGCGACACCGGTCTGTGAGTCCAGGAAGGGCAAACGCACACTCCTCTCCGCACACAGCCTGGTGTTGTAGTTACGACACTGCTCCAGAGCTTCTCTGTAGCACTGCTCTCCCAACCTGAAACAAACGTCAACATCAGCACAATATTTAGTCATGTAATAAACAAACTTAGTACAACACACATTTTTATTTTAAAACGTTACAGGATGTCTATTAATCAACTACTGATGTACTGCTGTAATTTCAAGAAATAAACTCTGTAAGAATCGTTTTCTGGCAAAGCTTTAGTTTGCTTGAGTTGTGATGTGTCACTTTGTGCCGCTTTATAAGTTTACAGAGTGTGCACCGGTGTGATGATGTGGGCAGCTGAGATTCAGTCAGAATGTTGACGTGAGGCCGACTCCAACATGTGAGCATCATACATTAAGGATTACATTCCGTGTGCTGCTTGTAAGTCAACATCTTCTGCGACAGATCACAGAGAGCAGTTTCATTCATTGAGTGTCAGGGTGAACCTGTGCTAATGTCTTTGAGTAGTTAGCTTGTTAGCGGCTGTCATCTGTCAGCGACAGCATTAGCGCCAACACAGTGATTAGTACACGTGAATAACTTAATATTCATTAAGAGAACACATTTTTACACATGACCCGACAGTTGGAGGGGATCTTGGTTATATTACCTCATTGGAGCGGTACTATGCCGTTAATAAGCCTGCTAACTCTTGCACTTCCTACTCCAGGATGAGACGACGGTCCGACATGACTGTGTCCTACAGCCGCACAAGTGACACGTCTGACAGCTATTCTACTACTAACTCACTCCTTTGATCATAAAGTTATTGTGTCGTTAAATAGTGTGTAAAATATAGATAAAAAAGTACAACACTTACAGTTGAACAACATTCTCAACAACAGCTGCCATCTTGTTTTATAACAGAAAGTGTGAGTGTTGTGGCTCGTGAGGAAATACACGAGGAACAGTGCCCCCTACTGGTGATGGGGGAGAACTGCCGCAGGGGCTTTAATAACGCGATAATGACATAAACACACATTATTATGGATCCATGCTTATACAGTAAAAAGAAGGAACAAGTGAAGTTAGCTTCAACAATAAATCAAATTAATTGAAGCCCTTTATCATCTCTACACTCATCTGGAAAGTTTTGCTGTATTATTTACTGCCACATATAAAAAAATAGTGGTCGAGTCATTTATTATCAAAATTAATTATTGAACTCATAAAATGAATAAAACAGGCCATCAGGCCATACCATATCGATTCATATTTTCCTCCACAGTTGTAATATAATGAAATATAACAACTTATATTATGAGATGCACTTTCTGGTGGGGGTCTTCTACCTGCCTGGTGCAGGTAATTATATAAATATTTATGTCATCCACGGGATGAATAAACAAACCATGTTTGAATAAACCATATTTTATTATTCCTAATAATAATAGATGTCGATACACAAGTCAACAAACATTTTTCCAATTTATAATGAAAATGCTCCACAGCACATTGACATCGTGTGGAAGCAGTCTGATATTACAGACACGTACCTGAAAATGGACAGAAGTTATACTTTTGCAATAAGTTGCAGTAGTAACAGTAGTAGTAATAGCAATAACAGTAGCAATAATGATAATACTAATTAATTGAAGAGGCAATAACAGACATTCATCAAAAGCATAGAATTGTTTAAAGTCGGTTAACAGATTTATCAAATGCTGCAAGACTGACGACTATCAATGTAAAAATAAAAACTCCAATCTGTTGACTAGTCTCCTGTCTTCTATAAGAATTTGTAAGAATACTTACAAATAAAGGATTTTCATCAATAAGTTAAAAGTATGGTTGTTTTCTTAAAAACCATCATCAACAAAATAGATTAATTTAATGGTCAAAGCTTAATAACAACACAGTGCTATTCTCATAGAGTACCAAATGCAAATGGAAAGCCAGACGATAACAGTTGCACAAAACCAGATTTCAGAACAGAGAAAACTGTGAGAAATATACAGTGCAGTTAACGTGCAGCAGTGAATGAGAGTCTGTAAAAGGAGAATAATCATTTGCCTCAAGTGACCAATTTGGCCAACTTATTGGAGTCCTTCACATTCCAGTGAGCAGTAAGAAAATACACTATGTCAACTTAAATGTATCAATAACTGACCAGACAGGTGATTGTTCTAAAAAGGTGATTATTTTGGACTAAACATGCCTCCATTCAAAATTGTGCACAATTTACATGAACTGCATTGGCTCACCTATGTATGCAATGACTCTATTCACATTGTAGTTTAGTTTCAGTCTATTTAACTCAAGCTAGACACCAGGAACCAAAATCAAAGTGCCACAGACAACACATACCCGAGGATAGCCTTAAAACATCAAGTGATATCAACTTTGTCCATGCTCTGATAACTTAATTTAGGGGAGTATTTGGCAGCCCCCATAGACACACATTCATTTGGTAATACATTTTGATTCCAACGTTTTTGTTTACAGAACTAGACCTTTGTACACATTCCACTTGATAGCGTTTTCAATGGGATTTGGATCTGTACAATCATAGTGAACAAATTTGTAATACCTGCATCAAATGATACAGCTGTATTAAAATAAATATTATAATCATGACATGTTGCCAGTTAATTAAGACCAGCCCTCCCTGTGAGCGATTTAGTCTGTTCACATTCTCGATCCAGTTTTATAGTTCTGATCATTTAAAAAAAACACAAATATTAACAAATAATTACTCATGACAAAAAACATGAAAAACTTTTTAAAAGGAGCATGATGTAACCTTTCCAGCGGAGGGAAATGTTATTTCTATCTCACAATGTGGCATTTATCTTGTATAGCTCCATGGAGGCAACATAGGTAACAGGTTTGATAGAGGAATGTAAGGTGTTAGTTCTATTATTTAATAGATGTTTGTATAAAATGGTCCAAAATGATATAAAAAGATAAATTGTGAATTGTTGCAATAATAGTGACTTATTGCAAGTACCACTTCTAAAACACTTTCTGTGGCATTTAAAATTCATCTCCAAATTCAGTCAAAATTCTCTTTCTACTCAAGTTAAATGCCATATCGTGGAACCTTCCAGACAAAGCAATATCACCTTGGTGCACACATTGAGCCAGTTTTTGTATGAAATGTGCTATACAAATAAATCTCACACAAGCAGGTGGTAGAGCCCCTTCAGAAACATGTTACATTGTGCGCCTTTAAAAGAAAGCAGGTCTATCCCGCAAGGAGTCTTCACTTAGTTTCATTTAAACATTTGTGAAGATTTAAAACTTGAATCCCTGACATACATTAGTTCATTGCCACAGGCCACAATGGACATTTTCTCTGGAGATAAGATAAGAAACGTCTTCCAGGGCAGTTTGAATGGAGGCCAGCGTGTGGTTTTGGGTTCAAGTAAGGCTCGTACACACATTCTGTACTGCCGGTCCCATCGCTGCTCCTCTCATTGAAGCTTTAGCATTATTTAGAGTCTACACTGCCCTCAATATCCCCTTTACTGACTGAGAACAGAAACATCCAAGAGTTAATCAGTGAGAAACCAAAAGCAAAGAACAATATTCATTCCAAAAATATAAAGCTTACGGAGTTCATTTGCATTTGCAAAAGGAAAACGCAGCGCCAATTATTTGATCCATAGAAACATAAGCGTGCAAACTTCACAGCACCACAACTCTCGCACACGTCCACTGCTAGAATACTAATCCCTCCGTTTTGTACACCAAGTGTCGCTTGTAAAGCAGTAAAGAAAAAGCAACGGAAATAGAACAAAATAGTAAAGGCAAAGTTTAAGAGTAAAAAAAAAAAGTATTAATACTTTAAAATATATTTGTGTTTCTCAAAATCCATGGTCACTTACTGCACACACAACTAGAAATAAAAAGAACTTTATTTCTTAAAACCTCATGAACCGGCTTACCTAAAATAAACATACAAGGAGCAAGCCAAAAAAACCTAATTTATCTGAAGGAGTTTCGTGCACAACAGGAATCAAGATTATCTACGGTCATATAATGTGTTTATTTTTCAAACCGATAAATAAAATAATAAACAGCAATATTATTGGTCAGGTTAATAACATGAATATAAAAAAGAGTGATGATCCTTCCCTAAAATGATAGCATGTGAAAGTGGAAGTGCGACATATCCCACAGGACAGACCTCTGACCCTTCATGCAGTGGTGAAAGGTCATTCAGATCCATCGCTTCCTTCTACATGTGGCTTTTCCTGAATGGCACAACTAAATATGATGAAAATTATGTGCTAAAGTAAAGATGACACATAAATTCTGCAAAAAGGAAGAATCAAATGGAAAGAAAACTATGTGAGCCACATACAGCAGGTGTCAGACATTTCTTTTGTTCGGATCTGCATTGAGGACACTGCGTGAGAAACTCTGGATCTTCAATTCTTCCTGTTCAGTTTGTTGAAATTTTGACGCTGTTGTATCGATGATTTTCCAAATGTTCTACTTCTTTTTGCCAAAGAAGCTAAACCTCTTTTCTCGATCCTTTTCTTTGCCTTCTTTGTTGCGCATGGTGACGCCTCCAGCTTCTCCTGAACTCGGGGATATAGGAGGCATTGTCATGGCCCGGCTCAGGACCTTCGGCCCACAAGGCGAGTCTCCTGCAGCCGGGGGAATGGAAGTGTGGATGGACTGGATCCAGGAGCTCATCTCCGCCTTTGGAAGCAAAATAACACACTGAATTTACTAAGAGCAAAACGTGACTGATATTATAAGTTTATAGTTTAGGCATGTGTTTGTTTGATTGGATGGAGTGCCATCTCACCTCATCCTTTGCTTGGAACAGGTACTCTTTTCCATCTCCCAGTCTGTTGAACAGAAGAGGCTTCATTATTTCAAAAGTACCACAGAAGTGTCTTTGGTGGTGATGGCGGTTTTCTTACCTGAGCTTAAACACGTGTTTCCTCTTCTTGTAATCATTTGCTACCTCACAAACAGCATCTCCCAAGCTTATGGGCACCTCTCCGTGATATGGAATGCCATTACTTGCACTTTTCCCGTCTTTATAAAATCCAAGACTTCCTTTCCTTATGACGCAGTACACATTCTGCCACGACCTGCAGCAGAGCCAAAAGAATCGGACTAATATACTGCTGTTGTGTAGTTAAGTGTAGGTAATGGACTGAAACGCACCTGCTGGCTGCCTTCTTATTGTGAGACTCCATCTCCTGTTTGCGACACAACATTCCCTCCATGGCCTCAGGCTCAGACTCTGCCCCACCTCGCATCGGTAACGTTGCAGATGGATCCAGACGCGATGATGCCAGGCCGCTGTCTCGGCCCGGCCCATTCACAGACTCCGTCTCCGAGCCCTGCATTTAAAACACCAGAATTATACAATGATCTGCAATGAAAACCTGGCTGAGCCAAAGCAGGGAACAGCAACGCAGCCGTTTCACAGCCAAAAGTGACAGGAAAGCCAGGATGAATCTTGGCTTGAAAACATTACAATAAAACAATATGTAAACAGCAATACATATAAACTAAACATACAACTACAATAATAATCATGACATTTAAAATATGCAAACATATGTAATAACAGCCATAACAGCTTTATCAACATTTCTACTTGGACTCAAAATACAGACACACAAACTGCTATAAACTCTGGGTGGATCTACAACTATAAGCAACGGGAAAACACCAATAATAATGGTGCATGATAAAATGAAGCTGCAATGGTTGCAATGGTTCTCGAGAGGGGAACAGCTGAGGTGGACCGGGATCTAAGCAAAGGGTTTGGAGAAGCGCCAAAGTACTCACACGCTCCCGCTGCTTTGGTCTATACACACGTTTAGGCTCAGATTTCTTTCCCACTGACACTGATAGCGATAATGACTGCTGGTAAAAACGTAATTGAAAAATATTATGGTGACTGTTGTTACAACACTGTGATAAGTCCTTAAGACAATAAGAATGACTACAGTTTGTATATACAGCAACTCTACAATTAAATGCATAAACAGAACGGTGACATTTGAATTAAGTTTGTCCAATCATTCGTTTCTCTGATAAACACGCTTTATGTGTGATTGACACTAAACAAAAAGGTCGATGGTTGTGTAATGACATGCACTCTCCACAATGTATTTACATTACAATGGTCACGTTACATGCACACCAGAAAGCCTATTCATTAGAATGCAGCTGAATAAAATGTTATTTCAGAAATCTTTATGTTTGAAATTAATTATTTAAGATCATCCATCCATCCATCCATCCTCTTCCCCTTAATCCATTTCTGGGTCGGGGGGGTGGCCAGAGATGCCACCCAGTACATCTTATTTAAGATCATTCAGATACATTAATTACTCCTAACTTGCACCAAAAGTTTGAACTTCTGCATCACATATGTACTAATTTTATCCTTTTAGGCAGAAAATCTGAAATTAAATTACTATAAAATGTATATTCTAGATGTGTTCTAGATCAGGGGTTCCCAAAGTTTTTAGCCCGCGACCCCCATCATAAATGCCCTGCTAACCCGCGACCCCCGCCCCCCCCAACAGCCCTTTCGTCACATGAAATGAGCATGTATTTCCTTGATACGGAGTAACGCTTTCTAGAGACTCACGCCACTACCGAGCTGCACTGTCCTGCCCAAAAAAGGAGGCTTGCATATTTTTACTCATGTAGTGACACAGTGATGGGCTTGGTGGGCTCCCTCCTCATCAGAAGTGGAGCGCATTTCTTGCGGCTCGCCCTCACTGTTCTCCTACCGCGGTAAAGTGGGTTGGCTTTCCGGAGTCAGCGGTAAAGAGGTCCGCACATTAAAAGCGGGCGGCCGCTTTCTGCTGTTACTTTATGCAGTTCATCCCCGCGGCTTCTCTTTCCAAAGTTACTGTCAGTAAAGGCATAAACCGGCTACCCGCTTTTAATGTGCGGACCTCTTTTCCTTTGACTCCGAAAAGCCGGGCCTCTTTAACGCGCTGTTCTACCGCTGTCCTCCCTCCCTCCTCTGCCCTCTCTCCCTCCTCTGCCCTCTCTCCCTCTCTTCGCACCATCAGCCTGACCCCTGATACAAGTGACTTTTCTCGCCCTCCGGGTTTTTCTGTTGTGGATATTAACCACGTTTCATTTTAAAGCAGGTATTATTTATTTGTAGCCTCCAAACACCTTTAGTTTTAGCAAACAACAGCAGGACACGCTTTGTCGCTGCGCATGATGTGAGCTGTGTTACGTGATGATTTTGATTGACGCTGCAATGACTGGGACAAAATTACTAACGTTATTAAAATATATTATAGTCTCCAAACACAATTTAACAAGTAGTCCTTTTGAATCAAATCAAATGCTAAATAAATATTTAAGGGCTTTATATTTGCTCAAAAAAAAAATATCTTTTGTTTTTGTTTGTGTAGAAATCATCATGCAACCCCCACTTTGGGAACCACTGTTCTAGATAAGTATACACATGAAGATGCAAGTAAATAGTAATATTCTCTAAAAAACAAAAAACCAGATCCAATAATTGCAATCTCCAATCATTCCAGTAGTATGACTTTTACACTCCATGTAAAAGCATACACTTTAAAAAACATTTTTTTTACATGTTAATGTCTCACCTGAGAAGTGTCATTGTCGCTGTGTACTCCATTCACGGATGCAGACTGGTTCAGCGTGGTTTGGTCCAAACTCGTTCTGCGTGAGAGAAGAATACAAGATGTGATGTCATTTCAGTCACTCTGTCCCTTTGACTGCTTCACTTTCTGCCTTGCGTCCGTACCTGGCAGCCGAGTCGTGTGGGTGACTTTCCACCTCTGACTGAACCTCGATGGGAGCAGGCGTGGGTGGTCGTCGCGCCCTCTCCTCCTCCTCTCGCATTCTCTGGATCTCTTGCTCCTCAAGCTTTAAAAAAAAAAAGGTCAAAGACTTCTGAGCAAAGCAGCTATGTCTACACTTACTCAGGCTTGTGGCTGAACTTACTGTTGTGAGTTTCTCTAACAAAACAAATCTCTCTTCCCATGATGCCGCGAGTTTCTCAAATTCCTCGTGCCGCTTGATGAGGCTCTCCACTTCGTCCACGTTTGACCCGAGTTCAGCTGCTCGCACAAGAGGCTCCTGCCCTGCCAACCACGACTCTGCCACATACGCATCACGCCCAAACTGCAAAACCTCCAGCACTAGCAGGAAATATACCCAAACAAGTGTTAAAGAATACAATTACATTATTTTGGTATTTGTGAATGGATATAAACAAACCTATTTGTAAATGTTCCATCTTGTCTTGCCACTTGTTGTTTATCTTTTCTCTCTTTTCTTGGAGTTGATTAAGTTTTTCTCTTATCTGTCAAAAGAAAAGCGGTACCAAAAACAAATCCAAACAAAAACTGTATTTGTGTTTGCAATCATTATAAAATACCTCATCTGATGCATAGTGGCTATTGTTGATAAGAGCTTTCCCCATATCTATACAGGCAGTGAAACTATCTGCTCTGGCCTCAATTTCTGATTTGATGTCCTGATGATTAGCAATGACAAGCCCTGCAGAAGACACATCCCTAAAAAGAGGACACACAGGTATGAATACAGGTTTAGCATTAAAGTTTTGTTTGTAATGGGCCGTGAGCTGACCTTGGGCTGTCATGAGCATCTATCTGTAAGTTGACACCGTCCATCCATAGCATAAGATCTCGGACCATGTTGAAGAAGCGAAACTTCTCAATAGTGTCCAGCAGAAGGAGCCTGCGAGCTTTACCAGCCTCCAGAAGACCCTCCCATGCAGATGAGACGGCATGTTCACTCTTTTGTATGTCCTCTGCTTTTTCTCCAGCGTAGGCTTTCTGTAGCCGTGCCGCATCGTCTTGCACCTGGTTCACCTGAGCAAATACATTCATTATAGTGAATAGACAGTCTCCAGTTACATTGACATAAGCGTCATGGCAGATTTGAGGCTACCTGTCCACTGAGAGCTTGAATATCATTTTCAAAGGTGTTGTGCTGTCTGTGGAGGTGTTGGACTGTGTTCAGATCACGCCCCAGGTCTGAAGGCACAGCGTCTTTCTTCTCTTTGATTCGTCCAAGTACTTCCATGGCGTCCTGGTGGAAGCGATGGAGCTCATACGATGCTGCCAACATTTGTGTCCGTGTGTCAATGAGCTCAAGTAGGTCGGCCCAGGCCTCGTTCAACCCGTCCTTCCACTCTGCGACACTGGCGTTTTCAGGGTGACCCGACTCAATCAGGTCATCTGCCAGAGCATTCACACCGTCAACACGCTCTTGTCCAATCGTGCTGGTGTCCCGAGCAAACTCACGGAACTTGTCTCTTAGCATCTGCAATGAGCAGAGATATGATCAACATTAGTTAAATGGACAAGTACATTTTTCAGCAAGAAGAATCTTACAGTGACATGTTCATAGTCTTGTCCAAGTTCATGTGATCCTGCGACCACCTCTCTCTCAGCAATCCACTGCTCCAGGTCATCCACCTCTCGCTTCAGCTGTGTCAGACGTAGTCTCTCTTGTAGCCGACCGCGGCGCTCCTCAGCCAGATCCTTCAACCCAGCATATAACTTGTCTACTTGTGCTTGACGAAGATTTATTCGCTCACTATTAAAGAGTTGGACAAAAAGGTTTTCAAAATAATTTATAATTAAAGCCAAACTTTAATACATATCTTAAATTGTCGTTTGTAGTCTTCACCTTTCTGGGTGCTCACTTGTGACCATGAGGCGACTACTGTTGGCAAGTTGGTGAATAGTCTGAGCATAGTCCTCAAGGGCCTGTTCCAAAACCTGGTGCTTCTTAACCATCACTAATGCACACTGTTCATCCTGTCAGACAACATTTTTGAATGTGTGGTTATTCACTTCACATTATTCACATACAGACGCTGTTCAGTTTGACTATAATCTTTTATATACCTTAGCTTTTTCCTCAGACATCATATGCAGCTCCTGTTCTCCCATCCAGGCTTCAGCTTCAGCCGCGTCTGTGTAGAACTGCTGTGCGCGGTGAGCCTCCAGTAGACGTTCATGGCGATTGTCAGTTTCTGCCATCAGTTGGTCCCAGAGATCTTTCAGTTCGGAAAGACGCTCAGTGAGCACAGACTGCCTCTCACCGTCCACCTGGCTCTGAGTCTGGCCTCGTTTGTGGATGTCGTCAATGCGAGGCTGATGGCCTTGGATCTCCTTCTGCAGGGTCTATAGAATAAATACGAGGATATGACTTGTGATTTCTTTAAGATGTATCTGCGACTGAAAAGTTACAACAAAACACTACCTGATTCTTCTTGATTAGCAGTTGCACAGTAGGCAAGTCTTTTCCATTGTCTATAGAGGTTGCCAGTGGCATTCTCTCGTTTATCCACAGCTGTAAAAAGTTGAAACAAAAAGTTTCAACAAAATACATGTCAAATCATTCATGTTTGCATTAAGTTTGTGTAAGCCCTCAGTCGTACAGGGATTAGTCAAAGCAAAGGAAGGTTTCTCACCCATCATCTGTACTTCTTAGCAAGTTTTCCCGACGTTTCGTCCTCAACCTGGGGACTTCTTCAGGGAATGAATTCTCGGACCGCGCGTTGGAGATTTATAACCTATGGGTGTGGTAAGCCACACCCTAATCCTGATACTAACTCGTAAACAATCTCAGGTCTGCTTGATGTAGAAGGGAGCAGGTCTAACGACCCTGCTGAGGCTAACGACCCTAACTCCTTAGCATGTCACAGACCTATTGTCTGCTGGGATGCTCAAGTGGAGTGCAGGTTTCACCCCTCCTTTACTCATTAGCATGTCACTGACCTTGTCCCAAGTTAGGGCGTTGTTTTTAGGATGTCGTCATAGATGCGAGGCAAAACAAATCTTAAACCTCCTCCTCTGTTAAGAGAAGGTTTTTGTTTCCTCACAAAAATGGCTTCTTTCACCCCTCTCTCAAACCAATTCTTCTCCCCATTGCTTAGAGCAATGTGGTGTATTCAATTAAATGTAGTGAAGAGGAGTGCACTGACCACTATATTGGAGAAACCAAACAAACTCTACAGAAACGACTTTACCAACATCGTAGAGAAAACTCTAGTGGGCCACAGTCGGCTGTTCATCTCCACCTCAAGGCCTCCAACCACACGGTGGATGACACAGAGGTTAAAATTCTGGCTCGGGAGAAGAATTGGTTTGAGAAAGGGGTGAAAGAAGCCATTTTTGTGAGGAAACAAAAACCTTCTCTTAACAGTGGAGGAGGGTTAAGATTTGTTTTGCCTCGCATCTATGACGACATCCTAAAAACAACGCACTAACTTGGGACAAGGTCAGTGACATGCTAATGAGTTAGGAGGGGTGAAACCTGCACTCCACTTGAGCATCCCAGCAGACAATAGGTCAGTGACATGCTAAGGAGTTAGGAGGGGTGAAACCTGCACTCCACTTGATGATCCCAGCAGACAATAGGTCTGTGACATGCTAATGAGTTAGGAGGGGTGAAACCTGCACTCCACTTGATGATCCCAGCAGACAATAGGTCTGTGACATGCTAAGGAGTTAGGGTCGTTAGCCTCAGCAGGGTCGTTAGACCTGCTCCCTTCTACATCAAGCAGACCTGAGATTGTTTACGAGTTAGTATCAGGATTAGGGTGTGGCTTACCACACCCATAGGTTATAAATCTCCAACGCGCGGTCCGAGAATTCATTCCCTGAAGAAGTCCCCAGGTTGAGGACGAAACGTCGGGAAAACTTGCTAAGAAGTACAGATGATGGGTGAGAAACCTTCCTTTGCCATGTTTGCATTATTTATGTTTGCTTACAATTTCATCCTCCAAGTCTCTGTTGAACTGGTGAGCTTCTTTGGAGGCCAACAGCTGCTGTCTCCGCTGACTAAGAGGCTCCTGAAGCAGTGCAAAGGTGTCAGTTACTCTTCTTTGCTGACCATCTACTTCCACAAGTCTAGCATCTTCCTGAGAGAGAGCCAGGGCCTGGGTCTGCAGCGACTGCACCTCCTTCTCTCTGACTTCCATCTGATGTTCCAACATCTACACACATAATTATCGGATATATATTTGTTTGTTATTATGTTATTATTTCTCAGATAATTTGTGCTCTTTATACACAATACATACCTGGTGTTTTTTAAGCAATATGTTAACGCTGGTTAAGTCTTTTCCATAGTCGTCACTATGTAGCTGGCCCTCCAGATTTTTGAGCCAGACATCAAGAGCTGAGCAGCTCTGTGTGAAAAGTTCTGCCCTGTTGGCATCAAACAAACACTGCGCTTTGGTGCGAGTGGTGCTTTCAAGCTCCTCCCACTGTTTCTGCAGATCCTCCAGTGTTTGCTGAACAACAGACTTCAGCTCAGGCTTTTCTGCCACGAGAGCCTGTCCCTCCTGGTAAACAGAGGGAGAGGAGAATAATGAAATGCATGTTTCTATGGCATAGAACCAAGTTACACACATGAACAGCAAAGACCTTATCAATTTTATCCAGCCAGTCTTTGTTGGATGCCAGCTCTGCCATGAAGGCTTGATGTTTCTGCCATTTGCTGTGAAGATTTCTGGCCTCATCATATGACATGTCCTGAGCGGTTAACATTTTTTCATTGATCCATAATGTCAACTACAGGCCAGAACAGGATAAAAAATATTAATATTTTCTTGAAAACATTTAACATTAGTTTGAGATTGAATTGAAACTTTACTTCTTGTCCATCTTGAAGGAAGTGTTGGAGCTCACGGTTATCTTTGAGCTTGGACAGCAGCTCATTTGCAGTCTGTTTATTCTTGAGATGCCTTAAATACCATAGGAGAAGGAGTTGGATTGTCAATATGATAATTGTTTTAAATGTAAACTATCTGCTTTTGCCCTGACCTTTCTTGAACAGAGTCCACCTTCTCCTCAATCTTATCAGAGTTTGCGTTGCCATCGTTAATGAGTCTTCGTCCTGCCTCCACCACTCCGGTTATCTTCTCCTCGCTGGCCTCTGCAGTTGTGAGGAAATCTTCATGTTTCTTGATGGCCTCCTCTGCCCCCTGTAGACTTGTGGGCATCTCTGTGTGAGACAGAACGTACTCCTATAGACACAGAAATAAATAGAAGATATGGTTATCTCTTTTTGACAAATGTTTTCTTTTTAAAGAAAGTATGCTGTATAGATAAAGGAAACCGTATATTTTACCATTTCGCATATCAATCACAATGTTTTGCTTTAATTTACATAAACTTACCTGGCTGTTGAGAAAAGCCTCTGCTTGCTTTGCATCTCTGAGAAAAGTCTGAAAATCGAACGCTTGTGCCAGGAGGCTGTGTCGGTTCTCCCACATACGACGAAGCTCATGCCAGCCTGTGTCCAGGGCCTGCAGCCTCTGGGCCAAGAACATGTGCTGGGCATCGGTCTGACCCTGAGTCACCTCTTCACCGACCGCACGCATCTTCTCATAGTCATCTTTGTAGTTGTCCACCTCATTCTTGATGCTCTCATGTTGTGCGAGCAAACTCTCCGCCTCAGGCAGACAAGTAGGGATGTCTTCTGAGGCTATGGCAGTCTGGGTGCGGGAAAGCCACGATTGGAAATCATCCAAATCCCTGAGGAAACCTTGCAGTTTGCTGGCTTCCCCCAATGACTCCTCCCGCCGTTTCATTGTCAAGTTGAGTTCTTCCCAAACTTCCTGAATCTCTGCAAGTTGCTGTTGTGTTTCCCCTGCTTGATCCGGATGCTCTTTAGCTAACTTTTCTGCCTCTTTTTCAAAGTCATCCAACTTTCCCTGTGAAGATAAACATTGGACATGTCAATGGAATATATTATCAAATACAGTAAAATGACCTGGACATTTCCATTATACCTGAATGGCCTCCAAGTCCCTCTCCATGCCAGTGAGCTTGCGCTGCAATGCCATGACTCCAGCCAGGTCATTGCCTAAGCTCTGTGTGGACTCGATCACCTTGGTCTTCTCCTTCATCCATGTCTGGATCTCGTTACATTCAAGGTGATAGTTCTGAATGTTTAGAGCTGAGTCCAAGGCTTGTTTCTTTTGGCCAGCCAGTAGTTCAAAGTCCTTCCATCTGTTATTCAATTGAAATTAAATGCAAAACAATGGTAGCAAGTAGCACTATTAAACTATTTTAGTATAGTCACAAGTACTAGTAACTTCGGAAGCTAACCTGTTGTTGAGCTGGTCTTTTGTCTGATATATTTGGTCCTTGTTGCGGTTATCAGAGCTCAGCAGTTGTTCAGCTACCTGGTTCACATCATTAACACGACTGCCTACGTTGTTCATCTCTGGTTCTAAAGTCTCAAATCTACAAATATAAAAGATGTATTCAGTCAAATGAGAGTAATGAAACAAGCATTTTAAGAGTGTTTAAGATCTCACTTACCTCTGCTGCACTACCTCCAAGTCTTCTAGTTTAGTAGGAATTTCCATGCCATGCAGCCACTGCTCTTTTTCTTCCACCCATACCTGGCAGGCATCAGCCTCACTGAACATGCGGTACAAGGCCAAGGCCCCCTCCAGGGCTTGGCGACGGGCTGCAGAGAGAGTCTCCAGCTCTTCGTAGCGCTGTTCAATCGCAGGTAATCGGCCTTCCACCTGAAGAAAATAATGCATATTTCAACTACAGTCGATAGATGCCAGGTTCAATGCTCTAAAATTATATCAACCTGAGGAGAACTTGTGTAGGTTTGGGGTAAGGCCTGGGCCTGCTCATGTAGAGAGTCAATCAGTGGGCGGTGACTATGGATTTCTTCCTCTACCTCCCTCTGTTTTCGGGCCAAAGTTTGTGTAGAAAACTCATCATGGCCAACTTCTTGACTTGACACCTGCCGAAGAGTCTCCATGATCCATGCCTCCATGTCATTAGCATCAGCTTCAAACTGATGCAAAGCTGCAGCTTCCTTCAGCTGCTGCTCCCTCTGCTTGGTCGTCTTGCAAGATAAATGATAACATGACCCATAAACACACACAACTCAACAAAATCAAAGCGATTGAGTAAAAGTAGGTAAAAGTGTCTACCTCTTCCAAATGTGACCATTGTGCTCGAATGTCCTCAATTCTCTCTGTGACCTCTGGCGCTCCAAAGTGACCCTCATTCACTAAAGTCTCTCCAGCAGAAATACTATGATTAAGTGGCCCATAGCGAGCAGCCATCTCGTCCCGGAAAGCCTCGTGTTTACTGAGCAGGTGAAGAGCAGATGTAAGGTCTCGGCCACATTCACCACTGGCCAGGATTTGCTCCTGTTCCCTGATCCAAGCAGCTTCTTCTCCCACATCCCAAAGGAACTGCCACAAACGGTGTGAATCTTCAAGGCGTTCTTTACGCGTCCCTGCGAGCTGACCCAACTCCTCATAGGATCGACCCAACATCTCCACTTTTTCACCCACTAGAGCAGGCTCGCATGGCTTGTAGGCTGGATTTAGTGCAGATACAAAAATAATGCTCATATTAGTTGCTGATTCAAGTACAACCTTAAGGGTAAATATTGTGAAGAACTCACCTTGTTCATAGGACGTGAATCGTGCGGCTGCTCCCTGAACTCCCTTGATCCGCTCAGCTTGAGCAGAGATGTCAGCCTCCACCAGTGTGTGCTTCTGTAGCAAGTCTAATACATCATGTAAATGTTTACCGCTGTCTTGAGACTGTAACCGACCCTATATAAATGTAAACAAACATTTTTTTATCCAAGTATTTCTGCAAACTGAAAGGCTGATTCTAACATATCCTACCTTCATGTCAGCCATCCAGTCCATGATGTATCGCATTTCCTGAAACAGTCTTTGTAAATCACGATGAGCATTGAGCCGCTCCCGTCGTGCAGCAAGGAGCTCTTTTAGATATTCCCAGAGTCGAAGTACATTGTCTCTTCTTGCTATTATCCGCCGGACATCATGATAGCTCTCTGCCTCCAGCTCTTTCGCTACAGCCTCCACAGCAGCAACTCGCTCCCAGTATGCGCCGATGTCTGTCTCAATGGCCTCATGTTTACGTGTGGCTGCTTCAACAGCTCCAAGATCAGTCCCAAAATTATCCTACAAGCAGACGCAAACACTTAAGAAATCATCCATGAAGTTGTCTTACATTTTAAAAGGGCATTTTTGTACCTGGGATACCAATCTTTGGTTCTCACTGAGCCAGGTCTCTCTCATTGCTGCTTTGCGATCAAAACGAGCAGCAAGCATTTCCAGCTTTTCTTGTCGAATGAGCTCATTCCTCAGTGCCAGCTCTCGTTCATGCTCTGCCTTTTCTAGTCTCTCCCAAGCCTGCAGGAGATCACATGGCATTTTATTGTAAATATAATTATTAATATTTTTCTATCAGAAAAAAAAAATCTGTCTTAAAGTAATACCTTATTTATGTCAGATATCAGCTTTCCTTCTCTTGGCATGTACACTTTCTGGTTGTTGGCACGCATCTTACTTTGTATTGTGAATAACAGAACTTCCAGATTTCCTTTCTCTGTAAATCTGTTGAGACAAACGTTGAAAAGTGGACATAATTTAAAAAATATTCTCCAAAGAATTCTTGTCCTAAAACAGAGAATGATAGAATGAACTCACTTGGGTGGTTTCTCTACTGTTCTGTAGGAGTTAAAAGCCTGGAGCTGATTCTGAACAGCGCTCAAAGAGTTTGCTAGCTGCCGATCATTTAGGGTCACTATCGTCTGCTCAATCCACTGCAACAGCTCGGAAGCCAATGTCTCATATTTATCAATCAGTTGATCTGCTTCAATAGCGTAGTCTAAAACCTAAAGAAAAGTAGTTCACAAAGTCAAATAGTTTTTTTTTTGGATAAACAAAATAAACATTTTGTTAAAACATGTTCTACCTTGCCAATTCTTTTGCCCTCTACTGCCAGAGCCTTCATCTTTGAGAAGTAATGATAATAGGTAGCCACATATGTAATAATGGACTTCTCATCGGGTTGATCAACATTAACGTCTACAAAAAATTACATTGTTTTAATGATAAAGTGTTTTTATTACAATGAGGGACCATTTGTATAAACATACCTTCAGGATCCAAGAGCTTTGTTAATCCAAGCTCCTTCTCAGCAATATTAAAAGCATTTTGAAGATTGTAGTGGGCATTTGACCTTTTCAGGTTGTCAAACTCAATCACGTCAGGTCTAAAACACGACAGAAAATACTACAAAGATGTTTACCCTGTGCTCGATTTAAAAGCTCTGGTTGACATCTTATTGGTCACGGTGACACGAGTGATGCCTCTGGCCGACCCTCTGTTTCCTTAGATGTGGCTGTGAGGTGTCCTCCCCCCCTGGGCGGATGTTTACGCACCCAGTGCCCTGCATGTCTGACCGCTCTTCCCTTTAATTCACCAAACACTTTCAATGGGAACGTTTTTGAAGAAGACACCTTTTAATTCTTAATACTCTATTATTTGTAATCAATAATAGATGAATGACTGATAAAGATATTGATAACTACATTTGGGGCTTAATATTTTTCTCTGGATTTTAGCGCCTAGGACAGACATGAAACAACACTGAAGGCATGGTTGAAAGTGCAAACAAAATCAACTCACTCTACTGGCCTCTTATTCATTTGAAAACTAATGATGAAGAAAGAGAAGACCTCCTGATTAAAGTCGAACCATCACTGAAAAATGACTCAGGAGAAAATAACAGAACTTTATTCACGGACAGTGGAGAAAATGTCAATGTTGCAAGCGCACAGATACAGGACAGTATTAAAAGCTCACAGAATATACCATGTAGAATATAAATGTTAAATAAAAATTATATGGAACGTTAAAAACATATTAACAGGATAAAAGTAATTGGTTGGACATTCTTTAAATTGCAGTATTCGCACATTATTGCAATATTTACTATTCCACATATGAACAAGTACAGGCGCACAAAAAGCACATACAAAATACACACACAGACACACACATACAAAATACACACACACAGACAAAGCCCACACACACATGACAAGAGCCCCCAATACACACACACACATACAAATACACACACACAGACAAAATACACACACACACACACACACTTCAAAACCAAGCTTTTCCCTTGCCCTAAACCGCATCACTGCTCAGTGTCTCATAATGATCCGGTTGTCGTTGGTTACATGCAGCTCTTTGCATGTTGAATTTATGTCTCACTAAATCCATCCGATTCGTGACTGAAGTAAAATGTGGCGTTTGACCTCACAATCTTTTGTATTATCATAAAAAGGTGCAAAGCCTAACGCGTCAGAAACAAATGCCCAATTAGGGAAACAGGCTCCAGCTAAGGTTCAAATCAAGCTCTTCTGCATTAAAGGGATAGTCTGGAAACTCTATATGAATTACAAATGTAAGAATTGCATAAATTGACCCCTGGCTATAATGTCGATATAAAATAAGTTAATTTTAATTAATTACGAGTATACCCAGCCTTCCCTTCTCTTAATTAAGAATTTAAAAATCCAGATTTCAAAAAGGCTATAACTTTAAAAGAAGTCATACTAATTTACCTATCATCGACGTCATCAAGGTGGCGGCCTATTGACAATTCATTAAAATGTACATTGACAAAAGGTCAATGTGAAATGCCTTTAGTTATAAATCTTAAGTTTCTTAGTAATTTACCACACCTGAAGTACAAGCAGAGTGCGTTGCTAAAGGCAGCGACCATTAATGGTTGAGAGTCGAGTATCAAAGATTGAATAAAAGATTGAACGTTTTTGAAATTACCATTCAAATCAATGGAGCGATTCTACTGGCTGCTGTGAGGAGCGAGTACAAATATTTATATTTATTATCTCTCTTCCGCACGCCTTGGACCATTGACCTGGCGTGTGCACAGAAAAGTAGGCGTGGCTTCAAGACCAATCAGAAAGGAAGGGGAGGAGCTTGGGTCGTTAATTTTCAAATCACGAACCTCTCTCTCTCTTTTCTGACAAACTCCAGACAATCCCTTAAAGGCTAACCACTGTGAGGTCAACACTGTCAGAGACCACTGAATAATTATGTATATATTACTAACTACATACTTTTTATTAGAGCTGCACAATATTGGAAACTAGAGCGATATTCAATATGACTGTTTAGTATTTCGATAACAATATTATTGCGATAATTTTGTCTTTCACCTAAAATTGCATCTGCATTGAAACGTAAGATACAAAATGACATTCAAATGCATATGTCGGTGTGGTGCCAAATGGGTGGTGGGGTTTTAATAAGGTTTTATTTATATTTTATGCATTTTGTGTGTGTGTGCTTCTAACATTGATTTGAACTTGCACCACCCGAAGCACCCCCGGCTACCCACGTGATGACAATTAGAACACCTGTGCCTTGCGTACAAAATGAGATGGGGAGGGGGCGGAGAGAGGAAGCAGGACGAAGCGGGAGACACAGGAGACAGACCACGGCGAGGGGTGACCCCATGGTCCGGCGGCCCAGGTCGTGCAGAAGGGTTTTTAGCCTCTTTAACTTTTATCACCGGGCTTTTAGCTTAGGTTTTATTGCTTTTATTCATTAACTTATTTTAATGTAGTTTTATAATAAATTGCTTTTAATTTACTTTTAATCCAGTGGTCTTTTTTAAACCGGGGTCCGAAGAACCTGTTTTTTTTACACTTATACTTTTGACACATATACCTATATACTTATTTGTTCTTGTTGAATGTCTGTTTCTTGTCCTGTTTTGTTGTCTTTAATAAAGGAAAAATATAATATATATAGTAAGGCTGTCAAACGATTAAAATGTTTTAGTTGATTAATCGCATCGTAATGGTGAGTTAACTCACGATTAATCGCATTTTTAACGTTCTATTTCAAATCCAACTCCAATTGAAGTTAAATGAGATTATCAAATGTAATGACACATTGTCATTCAAACCAATGTACTTAAATCTGTTTCAAACAATTTAATTTTGGGCGAAACCAACATGAGCTGTTAATGAAAGGAACATTTACGTACCCCAGCTTTAATTTAAGTAAGTAAGTAAGTAAAGTTTATTTGTATAGTGCATTTCACAGACCAGGGTCACAAAGCGCTTCACACATTAAAATACATAAAATACACGAGTTTAGTGCGACTGTTGAAACATTGAAACTCCTGAAATCCTTGAAACTTTTTTAAACCTGGAAACTGTTGAAAGTGTGGAAACTCCTGAAATCCTTGAACCTCCTGATATCCTTGAAACTGGTTAAATTCTTAAACAGTTGAAATCCTTGAAACTACTGAATGTATTGAAAGTGTCCTTGAAACTGAAAAATCCCCTCACCGCTGAAACAATTTGGTTCCTGTAACTAAGGAAACCTGGTCTGTGGTCATTATCTGGTGGTGGTCTGAGTCTTCGTTTGGGTCTTGGTCTGGTGGTATAATGCAACCTATTAGGTTGCATTATACTGGTTTACATGGAAAAATCCCTATTAGGTTGCATTATACTGGTTTACATGGAAAAATCCCTATTAAGTTGCATTATACTGGTTTACATGGAAAAATCTCTATTAAGTTGCATTATACTGGTTTACATGGAAAAATCCCTATTAGGTTGCATTATACTGGTTTACATGTCACAAATCCCTATTAAGTTGCTTTATACTGGTTTACATGTAAAAACCCCTATTAGGTTACATTATAGTGGTTTACATGTAAAAATCCTTATTAAGTTGCATTATACTGGTTTACATGTAAAAACCCCTATTAAGTTCCATTATACTGGTTTACATGTAAAAACCCCTATTAAGTTCCATTATACTGGTTTACATGTAAAAACCCTATTAAGTTGCATTATACTGGTTTACATGGAAAAAACCCTATTAAGTTGCATAATACTGGTTTACATGGAAAAATCCCCATTAAGTTGCATTATACTGGTTTACATGAAAAAAACCCTATTAAGTTGCATTATACTGGTTTACATGGAAAAATCCCTATTAAGTTGCATTGTACTGGTTTACATGGAAAAATCCCTATTAAGTTGCATTATACTGGTTTACATGGAAAAAACCCTATTAAGTTCCATTATACTGGTTTACATGTAAAAAAAAACCCTATTAAGTTGCATTATACTGGTTTACATGGAAAAATCCCCATTAAGTTGCATTATACTGGTTTACATGAACAAAACCCTATTAAGTTGCATTATACTGGTTTACATGAAAAAACCCTATTAAGTTGCATTATACTGGTTTACATGGAAAAATCCCTATTAAGTTGCATAATACTGGTTTACATGGAAAAATCCCCATTAAGTTGCATTATACTGGTTTACATGAAAAAAACCCTATTAAGTTGCATTATACTGGTTTACATGGAAAAATCCCTATTAAGTTGCATTGTACTGGTTTACATGGAAAAATCCCTATTAAGTTGCATTATACTGGTTTACATGGAAAAAACCCTATTAAGTTGCATTATACTGGTTTACATGTAAAAACCCCTATTAAGTTGCATTATACTGGTTTACATGGAAAAATCCCCATTAAGTTGCATTATACTGGTTTACATGAAAAAAACCCTATTAAGTTGCATTATACTGGTTTACATGAAAAAACCCTATTAAGTTGCATTATACTGGTTTACATGGAAAAATCCCTATTAAGTTGCATTATACTGGTTTACATGGAAAAATCCCTATTAGGTTGCATGATTACACTGAAGTCCTTGAAACTGTTGAAACCTTGAAACTGTTGAAGTCCTTGAAACTGTTGAAGTCCTTGAAACTGTTGAAGTCCTTGAAACTGTTGAAACCTTGAAATTGTTGAAACCTTGAAACTGTGGAAACCTTGAAACTGTGGAAACCTTGAAACTGTTGAAGTCCTTGAAACTGCTGAAGTCCTTGAAACTGCTGAAGTCCTTGAAACTGCTGAAGTCCTTGAAACTGCTGAAGTCCTTGAAACTGCTGAAGTCCTTGAAACTGCTGAAGTCCTTGAAACTGCTGAAGTCCTTGAAACTGATGAAGTCCTTGAAACTGTTGAAGTCCTTGAAACTGTTGAAGTCCTTGAAACTGATGAAGTCCTTGAAACTGTTGAAGTCCTTGAAACTGTTGAAGTCCTTGAAACTCTTGAAATCTTGAAACTGTTGAATCCTTGAAACTGTTGAATCCTTGAAACTGTTGAATCATTGAAACTGTAGAAATGTCTGAAAGAGCTGAAGTCCTATTAAAATGCATGGGCCTATTAAAATGCATTGCAGAATTCTCAATGCAAATTAATGGCAGAATTCCCAAGCCCGTAGAAAAAAACTGGAAAACTGCAGAACTCTAATTGATTGACTGCGGAACCTTCCGCAGTCAACCATTGGTTTTGTATTTCTTTATTCCGTCATTTTTT